AAGTCTATAAACGTAATTCACCACATAAACAGAAACAAAGACAAAAACCACATGATTATCAATAGATGCAGAGAAGGCCTTCGACAAAATTTAACAGCCTTTATGCTAAAAACTCTCAATAAACTAGGTATCAATGGAACGTTTCTCAAAATAAAAGCTATTTACGACAAACCCACAGCCAATATCATACTGAATGGACAAAAACTGGAAGCATTCCCTTTGAAATCTGGCACTAGACAAGGATGCCCTCTCTTACGACTCCTATTCAATATAGTATTGGAAGTTCTAGCCAGAGCAGTCAGGCAAGAAAAAGAAATAAAGCATATTCAGTTAGGAAAGGTGGAAGTCAAATTGTCTGTACTTGCAGATGACATGATTGTATATTTAGAAGACCCTATTGTCTCAGCCCAAAATCTCCTGAAACTGATAAGCAACTTCAGCAACATCTCAGGATACAAAATCAATGTGCAAAAGTCACAAGCATTCCTATACACCAATAACAGACTAAAAGAGATCAAATCAAGAACAAACTGCCATTCACAATTGCTACAAAGAGAATAAAATACCTAGGAATATAACTAACAAAGCATGTAAAGGACCTCTTCAAGGAGAACTAGAAAGCACTGCTCAACAAAATAAGAGAGGACACAAACAGATGGAGAAACATTCCATGCTCATGGTTAGGAAGAATCAATATTGTGAAAATGGCCATACTGCCCAAAGTAATTTACAGATTCATCGCTATCCCCATCAAGCTACCAATGACCTTCTTCATAGAACTGGAAAAAACCACCTTAAACTTCATGTGGAACCAAAATAGAGCCTACATAGCCAAGTCAATTCTAAGCAAATAGAACAAAGGTGGAGGTATCGTGCTACCCGACTTTGAACTATACTACAAGGCTACAGTAATCAGAACAGCACGGTACTGGTACCAAAACAGAGATAAAGACCAATGGAACAGAACAGTGGCCTCAGAGGCAACACCACACATCTAAAACTATCTGATATTTGACAAACCTGACAAAAACAATCAATGGGGAAAGGATTCCCTGTTTAATAAATGGTGTTGGGAAAACTGGCTAGCCATGTGCAGAAAGCAGAAACTGGACTCCTTCCTGACACCTTACACTAAAATTAACTCCAGATGGATTAAAGACTTAAACATAAGACCTAACACCATAAATACCCTAGAGGAAGACCTAGGCAAAACAATACAAGATATAGGCATAGGCAAGGACTTCATGACTAAAACACCAAAAAGCATTGGCAACAAAAGCCAAAATAGATGAATGGGATCTAATTAAACTCCAGAGCTTCTGCACAGCAAAAGAAACAATCATTAGAGTGAACAGGCAACCAACAGAACGGGAAAAAATTTTTACGATCTACCCATCTGACAAAGGGCTAATATCCTGAGTCTACAGAGAACTAAAACAGATTTACAAGAAGAAAACAAACAAGCCCATTCAAAATTGCGTGAAGGATATGAACAGACACTTTACAAAAGAAGACATATATGAGATCAACAAACATATGAAAAAATGCTCATCATCACTGGTCATCAGAGAAATGCAAATCAAAACTACATTGAGATACCATCTCATGCCAGTTAGAATGGTGATCATTAAAAAATCTGGAGATGAGATGCTGGAGAGGTTGTGGAGAAATAGGAATGTTTTTACATTGTTGGCGGGAGTGTAAATTAGTTCAACCGTTGTGGAAGACAGTGTGGCGATTACTTAAGGACCTAGAAATAGAAATTCCATTTGACCCAGCAATCCCATTATTGGGTATATATCCAAAGGATTGTAAATCATTCTATTAGAAAGACATATGCCCACGTACGTTCATTGCAGCACTGTTTACAACAGCAAAGACTTGGAACCAACCCAAATGCCCATTGATGGTAGACTGGACAGGGGAAATGTGGCACAGTAACACCATGGAATACTATGCAGCCATAAAAACGATGAGTTCATGTCCTTTGTAGGGACATGGATGAATCTGGAAACCATTATTCTCAGCAAACTGACACAAGAACAGAAAATCAAACACATCATGTTCTCACTCATAGGTGGGTGTTGAACAGTGAGAAGACGTGGACACAGGGAGGGGAGCATCACACACTGAGGTCTGTTGTGGGGGACTAGGGGAGGGACAGTGGCGGGTAGGGAGTTGGGGAGGGATAACATGGGAAGTAATGCCAGATATAGGTGATGGGGATGAAGGCAGCAAACCACATTGCCATGTATGTACCTATGCAAAAATCCTGCTTGTTCATCACGTGTACTCCAGAACCTAAAGTGCAATAAAATATATATTTAAAAAAAACAAAAAAACTCAAAGCGTTCCATTTCTTTCTCCTTAGCTGCTCTTAAATGAATTCCATTCTGTTAAAGAGAAATAGAAACAGGCCCATTCAAATATCTGTACATGAAGCCCTGTGCAGTGGCTCACACCTGTAATCTGAAGCCAAGGACAGCAGATCGCTTGAGGCCAGGAGTTCGAGACCAGCTTGGGCAATATGACAAATCTCGTCTCTACAGAAAATACAAAAATTAGGCGTGGTGGTACACGCTTGTAGTCCCAGCTACTTGGGAAGAGGCTAAGGTGGAAGAATCACTTGAGCCCAGAAGGTCAAGGCCACAGTGAGCCATGATTCTGCCACTGCACTCCAGCCTGGGTGACAGAGTGAAACCCTTGTCTCAAAAAAAAATGAAACAAAACAAATATCCGTACATGAATGTTTATAGCAACTTTTTCATAGTAGCCAAAAATTGGAAGCACCTCAAGTGTACATGAACGGATAAACAAATTCCAATATATCTTTTTTTTTTTTTGAGACGGAGTTTTGCTCTCGTTACCCAGGCTGGAGTGCAATGGCGCGATCTCGGCTCACCGCAGCCTCTGCCTCCTGGGTTCAGGCAATTCTCCTGCCTCAGCCTCCTGAGTAGCTGGGATTACAGGCACGTGCCACCATGCCCAGCTAATTTTTTGTATTTTTAGTAGAGACGGGGTTTCACCATGTTGACCAGGATGGTCTCGATCTCTTGACCTTGTGATCCACCTGCCTCGGCCTCCCAAAGTGCTGGGATTACAGGCGTGAGCCACCGCGCCCGGCTCCAATATATCTTTATAATAATATACAGATAATAATACAACTAATATACAAATAATAAAGAACAAATTACTGATAACATGTGACAACACAGATGAATCACAGAACCATCATGTTAAGAAGCCCCGAAAGAAGTCAGGTACAAAGACTTTATGCTCTGTGATTCCATTTCTGTGGACTTCTATAAAAACCAAAACTATAGGAGCAGAAAACTGATCGGGGGTTGCCTGAGAATAAACAGGGAATTGACTACAGAGGAGCATAAGATAACTTTTTGGAGTGATGGAAATGCTATTACAGGCAGTATAGATTTGCTTACTTTTATTGAATTATATACTTTAAAAAGGGTGAATTATATTGTATGTAAATTATGTCTCAACCTGATTTAGAAACAAAAAATTCAATAGATGGTTAAATTTAGGAGCAAATTTGTGAAGTGGAAATGATGAATCTGAGCTATATGTATATATAATATATATAAAGAAATAAAAAATTTATACAAAATAGGGACATAGATTTAAAAAATACGAAAGAGAAGTTGAGCTTTGTAGAACACACAAAACTGAAAGACACAACATATATTTAATTGTTATTCTAGTATATCCACTTCAAATGCTAGATAATGGCTACCTAAATTGAATATAGCAAAAATGTTAATATCAAGTATGAGAAGTCAGTACATGAGTGTTTGGTATATTATATTTTATACTTTTCTGTATTCTGTATTTTAATAATATGCTTAAAATATTTCATAGTAGAAAAATCCCTGAGTTTCCGGTTCTACCACCACATCTCATTGCATTTTGCCTCCTGGGACATACCCACATTATATAGATATTTGCATAGTTGAAGCCATACTATATGTATGACTATTTTGTGTTTTCCTGTTTCCCTCATAAGTCATTTTTATTGACTTATTACAAAAGTACTATCATGTACTATTAAGAAAAGTTGAACTGGCCAGGCACAGTGGCTCACACCTGTAACCCCAGCATTTTGGGAGGCTGAGGTGGGTGGATCACCTGAGATCAGGAGTTTGAGACCAGCCTGGCATGGTAGTGTGTGCCTGTAATCCCAGCTACTCAGGAGGCTAAGGTGGGAGAATTGTGCAAACCTGGGAGGAGGAGGTTGCAGTGACCTGACATTCTGCCACTGCACTCTAGCCTGGGCAATAAAGTTAGACTCTGTCTGAAAAAAAAAAAAAAAAAAAAGGGAAAAAGTTATTCTGTCACTGCCTTCACATAATCTTGTATATTATTTTGGTTTCTTTCCTGATGTTCTTTTCCCCATTAATATTTTTTCGATTATGTTTGACTCAGAACTACATTCTAAGAATATTTTTATTGTATAGTTGTTTTTGCAATATCTTGTATAAAAATGTCTCATGTTCTTATGTATAATTTTTTTTTGTTTTCGACGGAGTCTTGCTCTGTCACCCACCCTGGAGTGTAATGGTGCGGTCTCAGCTCACTGCAACCTCCACCTTCTGAGTTCAAGCAATTATCTTGCCTCAGCCTCCCAAGTAGCCGGGATTACAGGTGCCTACCACCATGCCTGGCTAATTTTTGTGTTTTTAGTAGAGATGAGGTTTCACCATGTTGGCCAGGCTGGTCTCGAACTCCTGACCTCATGATCTGCCCACTTCGGCTTCCCAAAGTGTTGGGATTACAGGCGTGAGCCACTGTGCCTGGCTCTTATCTATAATCTTAAAGTGACAGGATAGTTCATAATTTCTGTCTGTAAGTTTGTATGTTTTGCATGTCAAGCAGTATGTTCATTCTTGACAATGAATGTTTTTAGATTTGAAATTTTATCCTACAAAATGGGTAAGAAGTTTAATACAAACTTTAACTATTTTACCAAATGTTGTGTTTGATAGATCCCGTTGAAGAGGAAGATGCAAATCTACTATTTGGTTCAATACAAGAAGTACTGAAAGCATCAGTTATGGCTGATGCAGATATTCTTTCAGAGACATTTCAACTTCTGATAGACTCTGCCAAGGACTTCAGTAAGAGACTGTGGGGCTTAGTGCCCGTTGGCTTGTATCTTCCAGCTCCTCCATTGTACTGTCCCCAGCCAGCTATTCTTAGTGAAGTAAGCTTATAGCATTAACTTTTTAATTAATTTAAAGTTGATTTTGTTGAGTTTTTAAAATAATCAACTGTTAATGGTATAATATTAGGGAATGTACTAAACTACTGTTTAAGTTTCCTTATCTGTAAAATGCAGATTATAATAGTACCTGTAATGGCATTTTTGTGAGGATCAGGATATCCTGTAAAAGCTTCTAGATCAGGACCTGGGACATACAGTAATTATTTAATAAATGTTAAAATTATTTTAATAATATAGCACAATTAATATCCAGATTTTTTTAAATTGGGCATTTGTTTAGGGTAACAAATGAAATAATGAGTATCAGAATTAGAAGCCATACATTATTTCAGTCTCTTATTTATCTCTTTGTCTTTGCCTCTTCTGAAAGACTTGGCTGGTGTAGTGGCTCACGCCTGTAATCCCAGACCTTGGGAGGCCAATGTGGGAAGATTGCTTGAATCAAGGAGTTTGAGACAAGCCTGGGAAACATGATGAAACTTTGTCTCTCTAAAATATAAAAAATTAGCCAGGCATCATGACAAGTGCCTGTAGTTTCAGCTACTTGGTAGGCTGAGGTGGGTAGATTGCTTGAGCCCAGGAGGCAGAGGTTGCAGTGAGCCGAGATTGCACCACTGCACTCCAGCCTGGGTGACAGAGCAAAACTCTGTCTCAAGAAAGAAAAGACAGACTTATTTTTATTTGACTTTGGTTTAAAAGGTTATTTTTTCCTGCACTATTCAATTAATAGTTCTATATTATAAATACTATATTCCTCTCAGAAACTTTTTCCTTGCTCTTATTAAAAAATCATAACGTTACAATTAGCTGGTTCTAAGATTTATAGTGTTATAAATTACTGACGTTTGTATTTTTAAGCATTTGATTAACATTTTGAAGTGGTTCTGGGTATTATTTTTTTATTACCTCCTGTTTCAATATTGGCAACTTCTACTTGTATCTAGTTTTTTATTTCTCATTTGTTCTCTTTAGTTATATTTCAATAGTTTAAAACATTTTACTTGTTGATATTACAAATGGAAGGAATAAAACATCCGTGGCATTTCTCAATAATTCATCATTTCTCTTACATCTGAGTCTTTAATAATTGATTAGAAATTTGAAATGACATTTAAAATTTTTTGGATAGCCTATGCTGATAATAGTTTGCGTAGTTTGTGTGGTTACTATCTTTATTAGTGCTTCATTTTATTCTTTTATATTAGAGTAATTCTCCATGGTAAGATTTCTTCTAAATGTCATTGTATATCAGTTAGAACCCCTTGTGTTGCAAGTAATAGAATACCTGGTCAAAATGGTTTAAACAATAAAGGCATTTATTAGCTCCCATAATGAAGAAGCCCAGTGATAGGGCAGGCTTCTGATTTAGTTATGTTATCAAAGACTTGGGCTCTTTCACTCAAGTTTGTTTTCTGAGGTGTCACCTGAAGACTAGCTCCTCTTGTGGGAGCAGGATGGCTGTTAAGGAAAGTTTCTAAGGATGCCTTCTCCATGTCCACAGCCACAGTGATTGAGACAAAGAAAAGCGGCAAAATTATTTCTGTCCCAGCATTCCAAGCAAGAGGATTGAGATTCACTCTTACTGAGATTGGCTTAGGTCACATGCCTGTCCTTTAAACAATCACTGTGGCTAGGCTTAACACAAGGTACTTCTTGGCCTGTGAACAGAACCTTCCTTGAGGTGGGATGAGCTTTCCCTAAATCATATTAGCCATGTAGGAGATTGGCAGATATCCAAATAAAAACTAAGTACTGTTAAGAAGTGGTTAAGGAAGAAGGATGTTGGGGAAGCAGATGTTTACAATACTCACATTATCTCATTATCTGGGAAAATAATCTTTAGCTACTGGTTTGAGTAGCATTTATTCAACAAACATTTGAAGACAAATGACAAGGCCCTTTCTTCCTCGTGGGAGTTCTGAGTACAGTGGGATACAGGCATAAATTGATATGGAGTAAGTTGGTGAAAGCTGCAATAGAAATGTGAAAGTGCTGTTGTAGCACAGAGGGATGGGCTTCACAGATGAAGCGATATTGAAATATAAGTAGGATTTTTCCCAGTAGAGGAAGAGAAAAGGCATTCTGCTTAGAAGAATCTGTAACATTCCACCAATGGAGTCTGGAGTGGCAGGCTTTAACTGTTCTAGGGTAAGACTGGGAACTAGGGTCAGCTTATCCCTTTACACTGAGGGGAGAGAAACTTTTCCTCGATACCAGAAATAGCTGTAGTTGAAAATCTCAGAGCCTGTGCCTCAGAATTTTTCCCTTATGTATCTCCAGGAACATTCTAGTTTGAGAAGCAGTGAGCATCATCAGCATATGTAGGGTTTTTTATTTTTATTTATTTATTTATTTTTTTAGACAGTGTGTCACTGTGTGGCCCAGGTTTGAGCGCAGTGATACGATCATGGCTCACTACAACCTCCAACTCCTGAGCTCAAGCAGTTCTCCTGCTTTGGCCTCCCAAAGTGCTGGGATTATAGGCGTGAGCCACTGTGCCCAGCCCCATTAGCTTATCTTTATTTTCACTTTAACATTCTAAATTTCCTTATTACTACCCACTAAAATGGATTGTTTTATTTTCCTCAGGAAGATGGTGATGATCTTCTTTTAAAAGCTGAAAAAGATAATCGCCAAAAGGTATCTGGAATCCTTCAGCGTGTTCTTCTGCTTTTCCGGGCGGCTCAGTGCTCTTTTCCTATAGCACAGTGGTATATCTTGCAGTTGAGGTGGGCAAGAAAAGTCATGCATAAGGTATGGAAATGTCTTAGTCATTTATGTGCTGTGGTAACTGAAATATACTAATATTTATATTATTGTTTTTATAATTGTGACTTTTTTCAAAGAGTCTTGCCCTATAAATCTGTAAATTTCAGGTTTATTCATAATAAGCTAACTATAAACAGACCAGATTCTTCCCTTTGAAAGGTAAGGACTCTGAACTGGGTCTCTAGGTTAGTTCCACCCTGTCTGGCAAAAGATAGTGTAATCTAGTTCGTTAATTCCAGGGAATTACAGTTACTTTCCCCCAACTCCCCTATCATTGAAGATTGAAACTCAGGACTTTCTCCCATTTCTCCTTGAGGTGTTGTCTGTGTTCTGTGGGGGCTTCTGTGGATTCAGAGTATGGAAAGTTATAGTTCATTCTCATTTGTTTTCATTCAGTAGTCTCCACTAGTCAGGGTCTCTGCCTTGCTGTTTTCTGAGATGTGCAATTCAGTTTGATTCCCAGGTGTTCATCCCCTTTTATACTGACTTCAGCTGAGCTTTATTCTTATTAGAGCTCCAGCCAGATAGGACATCTGGTATGTCTGTTTATCCAGCTGTAAGTCCTTTGTAGGCCTGCTATGTCTCTTTGTGTCTCTCTCTCTGTCTCTGTCTCTCTCTCTCTCTCTCATATGGAAATAAATTTCATCATCTTCAATTTTTTTTTTTTTTTTTTTTTTTTTTTTTTTTTTATAGAGTCTCGTTGTGTTGCCAGGCTGGAGTGCAGTGGCATGATCTCAGCTCACTGCAACCTCCACCTTCTGGGTTCAAGCGATTCTTCTGCCTCAGCCTCCTGAGTAGCTGGGATTACAGGTGTGTGCCACCATACCTGGCTAATTTTTGTATTTTTAGTAGAGATGGGGTTTCACCATGTTGGCCAGGATGATTTTGATCTCCTGACCTCGTGATCCACCTGACTTGGCCTCCCAAAGTGCTGAGATTACAATAGGTGTGAGCCACTGCACCCAGCCCTCCAAATATTTTTAATTCAGCCTTAATTAAAATTAAATTTAAAATGATATAATTATTTTTAGTAGGAACCTTTAGAGAGATTTGAGAAGTTATCTAAAATTATTTTTGAAAATTAGCCTTTTTTAGAGAAAAAGTTTGTGAAATTTAGATATAGTTTCTATAAATATATAAATTAAAACTGTACTCATTTTATATTTTGGCATCACAATGGAAATGGAAAATAGATAGTGGTTGGTTGTCAGGGGTTAGGGAGAGAAGGAAGTGGGCAGTGACTGGTTTTATTTTTCTTTTTGGGGTGATGAAAATGTCCTGGAATTAGACAGTGATGATGGTTGCCTAACTTTGTGAATATACTAAAAACCACTAATTGTACACTTTTAAAAGGCGACTTTGATGGCATGTGAGTTTTAGCTCAATTAAAAAATGGTGCTGAAACAAAGATTCAAAACCATGTTAGTTTTCTATTTCTAACCTAACAAATTAATACAAATTTAGCAGCTTAAAATAGCATCCATTTAATATCCCACAGGTTCTGTGCATCAGAACCACTACAGGGTGGTTCAGCTAGGTCTCTGCTTAGAGTCTCACAAGGCCGATCAAGGTGGCAGCAGGACTACATTCCTTTCTAGAGGCTCTAGGGGAATATCTGTTTACAGGCGCATTCAGGTTGTTGGCAGAATTCAGTTGCATGTGGCTATAGAACTGAGGTTCCCCATTTCCTTGCTGGCTCTCTCTCTCTACCTCTTAGTATCATCCTGGTAGTAAATGCCATTAATGTATTTGACAAGAAGTCTGTCATTAGCATGCTTCCCAGGAGATTTTATTAAATTGTCTTTCTGGAAGTGACTAACTGAAGGGAGAAAACCAATTGCAAACCTGCTGTTAATGTTTCCTTCCCAGGTTTATGTCTCTTAGAGTCCTTTCCTGAAATGTGGAAGTAAATTTGATCATCTCCAAATATCTTTAAATCAGCCTGTTATCTGTAGAAGCTCCCCGTTTTTATTCTTGATTTGTTAAAATAAAAACTAGATAATTTGTCCTGTACCATATTCTAGATTTGTCAGATCATTTCTTCATTTAGTGTCATTTAGCTTGTTTCTCTGTTTTTCCCCCTGTAAGTCGGTCATTAATCTGTGCTCATTGAGGTAGAGAGGTTTAAATAGATTGAGGGTCAGATTTTCTTTTTTAAAATTTTTTATTTTTTGAGACAGCATCTCACTCCATCGCCCAGGCTGGAGTACAGTGGCATGGTCTCGGCTCACTGCAACCTCCGCCTCCCAGGTTCAAGCCATTCTCCTGCCTCAGCCTCCTGAGTAGCTGGGACTACAGGCGCCTGGCACCTTGCCTGACTAATTTTTGTGTTTTTAGTAGAGATGGGGTTTCATCATGTTGGCCAGGCTAGTCTCAAACTTCTGGCCTCAAGTGATCTTCCCACCTCGGCCTCCCAAAGTGCTGGTATTACAGGCATGAGCCACTGTGCCTGCCATCAAATTTTCTTAGAAATGATCTTTCATAATTATTGTGTACTTCTCTGTTGCGCTGTGTCATGTGGCACATGCGTCTGCTCATTTTACTTTTAGGGATGGGGAGATTGAGTTTGGATCATGTCACACCCTCTATCAAGTATTCCCATCAACCCATCAGCTTTTTGCTGTGTTAGCATTTACTAACTTTGCCTAGAGTTATTATTAGGGATTGCCAAATGGTGTCTTTCTAATTCTACCATTTGTAGATTAGTTTTTCGAAAGTTATGTATGTAGGCATAAATGTTTTGTATTTGTTTTAGTTACTGTAGACAGTTTTATTTGGGATGAGATTAAGATTCTTAAATTTATTTTCTTTGCTATGCCTGTGAGGAAAGCCAGGGACAAATAGCATTAAATTTTTCTTATACAGGCAAAATTGTGTCAAGAGGGTGCAAATGATTTAGTTAGAAACTTTCTTTTCTGAGATAACAAGCTAGTGACTTTCATAAAGTAACGAAACAAGTATAGCTTGTTTCATGTACTTTGTTTTTCATTCTGTGTGGTTTCTTTTACTTGCCTGATTCTTTTATAGTTTCCTTTAAAAGTGATTTATACTGTTGATAATTAACATATTTGTTATTCTTTACTTTTAGATTCGAATGAAAGGATCCCTTCCTTCGTTGAGTCCTTTTCCTCAGTCATTACTTAATTACTGTAAAGGAGATATCACATTCTTTAGACCTGGAGCAGCTGGAGATCACAAGCTTGATGAAGTTTCCATTAGAGCAATAGGTTTGTCCAAAATGAACTGCTTGCTTAGACATTAGGCCTAAGTATGAATAATGGTAGATTTTTCATTTGATTTGGGAAAGTAACTACTGACTCTTCAAAGTACAGTATATTGTACTTTAACAGCTATGTATATACATATATGGTATATATGATAGTAAGTCAGAAATTTATTATATAAACAAATTGTGATACCTTTCTTTATTTAATTGATTTTTTTTTTTTTTTTGAGACAGGGTCTGGCCCTGTTGCCTGGGCTGGAGTGCAGTGGCATGATCTCAGCTCACTGCAGAACAACTCCCGGGCTCAATCCATCTTTCCAACTCAGCCTCCTGAGTAGCTGGGACAACAGGTGCACACCACCACATCCGGCTAATTTTTGTACTTTTTCTAGAGACAGGGTTTTGCCATGTTGCCCTGGCTGGTCTTGAACTCCTCTGCTCAAGCAGCCTGCCCGCCTTGACCTTCCAAAGTGTTGAGATTACAGGCATGAGCCATCGCACTTGACCTAAATCAATTCCTTATTCATGGTCTGTGTCCAGTTATTTGCATAACAAGTTTAAAAAGTAAAACTTTAGATATCATTTCATTCTTTTCTTCTTAATCTTTAGTCCTTATCAGTTCTATTTATATTAAGCCCTGATCTTATCTTTAGAATTTAATTAAAATGTTTACTTTTGAACTGGGCACACAGTGGTGTAATCCCAGGTACTTGGGAGGCCGAGGTGGGAGGTTGCTTGACCCTAGGAGTTTAAGGCTATCGTGTGCAATGATTGCACCTGTGAATAGCCACCACACTCCAGCCTGGGCAACATAGTGAGACCCTGTCTCTAAAAAAAAAAAAAAAGTTTATTCTTAACTCACTCACCCTTGGTACAATCTTACATGTCCTAGGGTTCAGATTGTCTGTGTTTCCAACTCTAATAGCATTGAAATGCTTCCTGATTTCTTCTCTCAGCTGTCATGAACTTAGTTTCATAGACTCTTCATACCCTGTAACAAGAAAGGACCAGGCACAGGTGTCATCTGGAAAAGTATGTACAAACTCATTTCATTTCTAGGTCTGTAAGAAGTGAGTTAAATTCACAATAATCCCAGGTAAAAGATATTTGCTCATAAATAGGGACATAGTCCTTTGACGTGATTTAAATAAAGATTTGAACATATATTTTTAATATTTTCATTTTGATCCTAGGTTCTATTTAATTATTCTTTTGCTTGATTTGGTCTCTTGATTGTTGAGAAATGATTTTGGTAGATTAAAAATATTCCTTTCTGGCCAGTTGCAGTGGCTTATGCCTATAAACCCAGGCTGAGGTGGGAGGATTTCTTGCTCCCAGGAATTTTAGGCTGCAATGAGCTATGATTCTGCTGCTGATCTCCAGCCTGGGCGGCAGATCAAGACCCTGTTTCTTTAAAAAAAAAAAAAACAACAAGGTTCCTTTCCTGTTTTGTTACCTAAAATAGTAGATTTCAAACTCTTAATTTTATTTATTTATTTGTTTTTGAGACCGAGTCTCATTCTGTCACTTGGCTGGAGTGCAGTGGCACAATTTTGGCTCACCGAAATTGTAAGCCAAATTTTTTAATCTACCGAAATCATTTCTCAACAATCAAGAGGCCAAATCAAGCGATCTCTACCTCCTGGATCCAAGCGATTCTCCTGACTCAGTCTTCCAAGTAGCTGGGACTACAGGCGCCTGTCCCTGCACCCGGCTAACTTTTGTGTTTTTAGTAGATACAGGGTTTTGCCATGTTGGCTGAGCTAGTAACTCCTGACCTCAGGTAATCCATCTGCCTCGGCCTCCCACAGTGCCAGGATTACAGGCGTGAGCCACCATGCCTGGCCTAGGATTTCAAACTTTTTTGAAGTTTTTTACTATGAAAAATTTGAACCAAAGTAGAGATTTATGAACACTTGAGTACCTCTCACCCACCTGCAACAATTGTCAACATATGAAAGCAAATCTGAATATATCATAAGTGCCATAAGTACTTCAGTATGTGTAGTGAACATATGAGGTATTTTTAAAAACCACAATTCTATTATGACTGACAAAATTTACAATCTTTAATATTATATAGTCAGGCCTGCTTAATGATGGAGATGCGTCCTAAGAAATGTGTCATTAGACAATTTTGTTGTGTGATCATAGGATATACTTACACAAAAGTAGCCTAGTATACACTGAGGCTATGTGATATGGCCTTTTGCTTCTAGACTACAAATCTTTACAAGAGGATTGCTTGAGCCTACGAGTTCAAGGCTATTGTGTGCAAATGATTGCACCTGTGAATAGCCACTGCACTCCAGCCTAGACAACGTAGTGAGACCCTGTCTCTAAAAAGAAAAAAGTATTGCCATACTAAATACAGCAGTACTGAATACAGAATGTGACTATGCTGAATACTTTAGGCAATTGTAACACAATGGTATTTGTGTATATAAACATATCTAAACATGGAAAAGGTACAGTAAAAATACAGTATAAAAGTTTAAAAAAATGGTAAGTATAGGACACTTACCATGAATGGAACTTACAGGATTGTAAGTTTTTGCTCCAGGGGAGTCAGTGAGTGGGTGGTGGGTTAATTTGAAGGCCTAGTACATTACTGTATAGTACTGTAGACTTTATAAACACTGTACACTTAGACTATACTATATTTATTAAAAATATATTTTTTCTTCCATAATAAATTAACCATAGCTTATTGTAACATTTTTACTTTATGAACTTAAAAAAATTTAAAATGTTTTTGACTCTTGTAATTATATTTGGCTTAAGAGACATACAATTGTACAAAAACTATTTTTTTTTTTTTAAATTAGAGATGCTGGAGTACAGTGGCATAATCATAGTTCAGGGCTCAAAGGATTCTCCAACCTCAGCCCTTTGAGTACTGGGACTACAGACTTGAACCACTGTACTAGCTAATTTATTTTTTATTTTTTGTATAGGTGGGGTCTCTGTTGTCCAGGCTGGAGTGCAGTGGGGCCATCAAGATGGCTCACTGCAGCCTCCGCCGTCCGGGTTCAAGCACTTCTCCTGCCTCAGCCTCCTAAGTAGCTGGGGCAACAGGCATGCACCACCATATTTTGTATTTTTAGTAGAGATGGGGTTTCACCATGTTGCCCAGGCTGGTCTTGCCCTCCTGAGCTCAAGCAATCTGCTTGCCTCTGCCTCCCAAAGTGTGAGTTTACAGGTGTGAGCCACTGCGCCAGGCCACAAGGCGCTCTTGATATATTCTATTGTATTCTATTTTTAAGAGATGATTGAGACCACTTAGTTGATTATATAGCCTAGTAATTAATAATAGATTGTAATCTACGTTCTGAAAAACACAGATAAGGGATGTTTCTAGATAAGTCACTGTTTAGTGTGTTGTTGCATTGTATCTTGCTAGTTCTTGGCCTTAGTTCTATCCCAGCTTGCCTGTGAAATATGAAATAATGAAACACATCTGTCAGTAATGATGCCTTTCTCAAAAGATTGGGCCGTGCTCTCCTGACAGAATCTATGAGAATCTGATGTGTGGGGTGGGCTGTATTGTGAAAATGCTCATTGGAGACCCTGGTAGTCCCCCTGGAGCCATGTACCTACCATCCTCTCTCACTATTGGGATGAATAGAATGTGTAGAAGACCTGCTTTCTGCTCACTTTCCATAATGTCAAACTGTACTTTTTGGCTTTGTAATACTTATTTTAAAAAAACATATTAACTAGCTCCCTAAAGAAAATGAAAATACTGACTAATATAAAAGTCAGATTATTGCAAAGATAAGGCTTATTTAAAAAATTAAGGCATAGACTAGGCACAGTGGCTGATGCCTGTAATCCCAGCACTTTGGGAGGCTGAAGCAGGTGGATTACCTGAGGTCAGAAGTTTGAGTGCAGCCTTGCCAACATGGTGAAACCCTGTCTCTACTAAAAATACAAAATTAGCTGGGTATTGTGGCATATGCCTGTAGTCCCAGCTATTTGGGAGGCTGAGATGGGAGAATCACTTGAACTTTGGAGGTGGAGGCTCTAGTGAGCCAAAATCATGCCACTGCACTCCAACTTGGGCAAGACAGAACAAGACTCTGTCTCGAAGATAAATAAATAATAGTAAATAAATAATTAAGGCATAAATGAATGAAATTAAATTTTAGAGTATTATCTTTCTTCTTCCAAAGGAAAAGTTCCTAGTTTTTTATTTTTCCAGAGACAGGGTTTTGCTGTTGTGCTGCTAGAAACTCACGTGTGCAAGTGTCTTAAACATGCATTTACAAGTGTCTTTCGTATGATGATTTCTTTTCCTCTGGGTAAATACCCAGTAGTGAGAATTTTGATTCAAATGGTAGGTCTACTTTTAATTCTTCAAGGAATTTTCACACAGTTTTCCATAGTGGTTGTACTACTTTACATTTTCACCAGCAGTGTAAAAGTGTTCCCTTTTTACCCATCCATGCCAACATGGAGGCTGGTCTCAAACTCCTGGGCTCAAATGATCCTCCTACCTCAGGTGTCCAAGTAGCTGGGAGACAAGGTCTTGCTCTGTCTACAGAGCCTACACCACCCAGTTGAAAAGGTCCTATTAACCATAGAACAGTAAGGAGAGGGATAGTTTTCACTTAATTGGTCACATGTTAACTATAATAGAAATTTGAGATTAGCAGAAGAGTGGAAACTTGTTTTGATAGCTGGATTGAGCCCATGCGTTGTGTATAGTTAAATCCTGATGCTCCATACAATGGAACACTGTATTGGCAATAAAAAACTTAGTGTGTTTATATTACTACATGAAAAGGTATCTAAGATATTGTAGGTGAAAAAAAGCTAGTTGCAAAGCAGCATACATAGTATGATTTTATAACTTTGTGCACTTGTATTGCTTTTAATAAAACATTATTTACTATTGGAAATCATGGTTTTAGTATTGAAAATGTTTAAACATAAATGAATATTAATAAGTGATTTTTAAGTCAATCTCCATAACTTTTATATAAATTTAAAATGAACATGTGTTCATTTTATAATTAACAAAATAGATTTATTTTGGAAAAAAAAATGGTCAGCAGAGGTGGATTTGTTAAAATATTAATGTACATACTCATACAATTTTCTTTCATATTTGTGTTCCTGCTTTAGGTAGCTTCAGAGAACTTTGTGCTTTGTGTTGGATTCTGCATGTCCGTGATAAGTTATCCTATAATTGCAGGCAATATCAGAAAGCAAGAGAAAATGTAAAGGGAGAAAAGGTATTTACCAGGACAAAAATAAGAAAAATGAACACGTTAGTTGGGAAATTATTGTTTAAAAGAAGATTTTATATTTGTAGCAAAACTTTATTTTGAACTCATTCTTGTCTATCATCTAAAGTAAAAAGGAAATTAATGTTTTCAATATCCTTTTAGGACCTCAAAGTGGAGTTTGATTCTTGTATGGTTGAGCACTGTCTTAGTGCGGTGGAATGGGCTTATAGAATGCTACCTTTCTCTCGGTTTTTTAATATGGAAGAACTTATTCAGGATATAATTTTGAGCCTTATTGGAGAACTGCCACCAATTAGAAAGGTAATGTGCTTGTAGGTGAAAGTAAACTAAATCAGAATCAGGGACTTTAAAAGATTTTTATTTAATTTTAATTAAGGTTGATGTTGCTTTTCTTTGGGTTATTTCACTTAGCATAATATCTTCTGGATTCAGAAAGATAAATACTGTAGGACCTCGCTTACATGTGGAATATAAAAGTTGTAAACTCACGGAAGCATAGTATGGAATGGTGGTTGCCAGAGGCTGGGGATGTGGTGAAAATGGGGAGATGTTGGGCCGGGCGCGGTGGCTCAAGCCTGTAATCCCAGCACTTTGGGAGGCTGAGGCGGGTGGATCACGAGGTCAAGAGATCGAGACCATCCTGGTCAACATGGTGAAACCCCGTCTCTACTAAAAATACAAAAAAAAATTAGCTGGGCATGGTGGCGCGTGCCTGTAATCCCAGCTGCTGGGGAGGCTGAGGCAGGAGAATTGCTTGAACCCAGGAGGCGGAGGTTGCGGTGAGCCGAGATCGCACCATTGCACTCCAGTGTGGGTAACATGAGTGAAACTCCGTCTCAAAAAAAAAAAAAAAAAAAAAGAAAATGGGGAGATGTTGATCAAGGGGTATAAACTTTCAGTTATGAGATGAATAAGTTCTAGGGATCTAATGTACATTGTAGTGACTGTAGTTAATTGTAGTGTATTGTTTACCTGAAATTTGATAAAGGAGGATATTTTAAGCGTCCTCACTCTACACACACACACACACACGTAACTGTGTGTATTGATGTATGTGCTAATTAATTTGACTATGGAAATCAGCACAGAATGTATATGTATATTAAATCATAACATTGTACACCTTGAATATACACAGTTTTTGTCAATTACATATTTTAAAATAAAAAAGTAGGTTGATATTAAACTTCTGTTAGCAGACTCATGCTCAGAGAGAAGTTTTGACCTGACCTCGAAAGATTAGTATGAAATATGCATTTATATTTTGAGTTAAAATACTTGTGAAAATAAAAGAAAAAAATGATTTTTCTCATAAAACTTAACATTTGTTTTTTCTGAAGGTAGCAGAAATTTTCGTGAAAGCATTTCCCTGTCCTGAAGATGTGAGGGTTCCCTTAAGAGACAAATATCACTCTCTTCACCAGAGACTCAGACACTGTGTTGTGAAAGGTATTATTTGCTGTTTCTCAGATAGCTAATTGATAAATTGCAGAAGATTTGCCTTTTTGTTTTGAAAATATTTGTTTTCTGTTGCTTATGTGTCTGTGCAGTTCTGCCTCTTCCTAGAGATGAGTATGAGAAAGTAGAAACATTTCTCCATTACAGAAAAACGAATTCTCTTGCTTTGGAACCAGGTGACACTGACTTCGTTTCATGGTGGTGTCAGTCAGTAACTGTATGACCTTAGGCAAGTTGCTCAGTGTCTCTGAGCCTCATATCTTTATTCATAAAGTGGGCATAATACTACCTGCTTTATTATGTATATTGAGAGAGGATTAAATAAGATAATGTAAAATGAGCATATAGTGCTTTGTATATTGCACGTATTTGTTGAAAACTAGCAGTTTTTCTTTCCCCTTATGGTTATTTATGCTTCTAATTTTCTTCTTCAGAATTAGAATACACACATTTTTTATTGTGATAAAATATATATAATATAAAATTTACCATTTTAGCCATTTAAAATATACAATTCAATGACATTAAGTACATTTACAATGTTGCAGAATTTTTGAAGAATTCCAATTACCCTGCTTTTTACAACTATAATTCAGGATTTAAGTCCAATTATGTCCAGTGATTTCATATTATGGCATTACTATATTGTATTTGTGATTTATAGTTTTCTGAATACTTTTTTTGACATCCTCTAAAATATTCTCTTTATGTATTTTTTTTTTTGAAGTGTCAAGGTAAGTATTCATATTTTATTCTTTTTTTTTTTCCCATTTATTTATTTTATTGCATTTTAGGTTTTGGGGTACATGTGAAGAACATGCAAAATTGTTGCATAGGTACACACGTGGCAGTGCGATCTGTTTATGTATTAAGTAATGTTTTAAAATTTTTCTGTAGGCAGTCTTGAAAACCTTCCCTTGCTATTGTTTCTTATTACTTGTAGTAAGAAAAGTGTCCTTGATTTTTTTGGCTGGAATTATACTCCTATTCTCTACTCTGTGAGAATGGAAAAAAATTAGTTATTCTTTTTATTAAATATAATTATCCTTCTGAGTTTTAAAACCATTAAATCACTTAAAGTTTTTTTTCTTTTTTTTTCTTTTTTTTTTTTTTTTTTTGAGACGGAGTTTCACTCTTGTTACCCAGGCTGGAGTGCAATGGCGCGATCTCGGCTCACCGCAACCTCCGCCTCCTGGGTTCAGGCAATTCTCCTGCCTCAGCCTCCTGAGTAGCTGGGATTACAGGCACGCGCCACCATGCCCAGCTAATTTTTTGTATTTTTAGTAGAGACGGGGTTTCACCATGTTGACCAGGATGGTTTCGATCTCTTGACCTCGTTATCCACCCGCCTCGGCCTCCCTAAGTACTGGGATTACAGGCTTGAGCCACCGCGCCCGGCCCACTTAAAGTTTTTTTTTCTAGGGCATACTTTTTTTTTCTTCATGAGGCCTAGGTTCTGTTTCTTTTATTGATCTTTAGTGGACCTTCTTTAGCTTCTGCAGTTCTACTTTAAAATAGCTTTCCAGTAAATACTGAAGAAAACAATATCTGTAAGAATGTGGAAATAAGCCTTAGTCATCAGTTAGGTTTCTTGTCCCCAGGAGGGACCAGAGTTGAGTCTCCTGTGTCTCGAATCAAAACATTTTAATGAACACTGAGACCTTTTATTTTTTTCTTTCCAGGTCCCCAGACTGAGGAAATGATGTCTGTTGTCATGCATTCTATCCAGAAAGTGAGGGTGAAAGCTCTAAAACGTGTGCAGAGAAATATAGGTTCTTTTGAAATGAATATATGGGAACCAATTGAAGAAGAGAAACCAGATGAGGCTTCAGGTTTTGACAGATTTTCCCTGGGGACTAGTTTGAGCAGAAGTACACTCACAGAACTGGGGAATTCTGTGGTAAACAGTGATGCAGATACGGCAGATATGTTCTCTGAAGCTTTGTCGGTTGAAGTAAAAGGGATAAATAAGTATCAAAGGTACAATTGAGATCTTTTAATAACACACATTCACTTCCTTTGAAAAGTAGTTTTCAGGCATCTGATGAGCTGATTTCTGGTCCCAGCAACCCTCACTGATTGTGCTATTAATAATATGAATGATAAGTGCTATTCTCTCCAGTCATAGGAATATTAGGAGTATAAGACGAGACTGTACATTTGAAAGTTTAAGTATTATTGACATATGAAATAATTTTGCCATCTGAAATTATAAAATCAAAGGAGTAGATGAAATTCTACACTTTACTGGAGGACTTTTTTTTTTTTTTTTTAGTAATCTTTAGACTTAAATAGTTTGAGATTATTGAGTTAGCCATATTATTTTTAAGGAAAATTTTTCCTTAAATTTCCTTAATTTTTTTTTTTTTTTTTGAGACAGAGTTTCGCTCTTTTTGCCCAGGCTAGAGTGCAATGGTGCATTCTTGGATCACCACAACCTCCGCCTCCTGGGTTCAAGCGATTCTCCTGTCTCAGCCTCTCAAGTAGCTGGGATTACAGGCATGTGCCACCACGTCTGGCTAATTTTTTTGTATTTTTAGTAGAGACGAGGTTTCACCATGTTGGCCAGGATGGTCTCGATCTCTTGACCTTGTGATCCACCCTGCCTTGGCCTCCCAAAGTGCTGGGATTACAGGCATGAGCCACCACACCCGGCCTCTTTAATATTTTTAAGGGAAATATTTCAGAGAAGGAAATTGCCTCAATCAGAAGGGATGGGATGCTTTCAGCCCAGGTGGCCAACACCTGCTCTCTTACTGAGGGAACTAAGGGTCTGTGTTCTGTCCTAAGAACCATGTTGAGAAGAAACATTTAAAAGGAATTGTGATTGGGCAGTTAAGGTATCTGCCCAACAGGTTTCATAGCAGCTAAAAGTATTTAGAAAAAGTTCCCAACTTTTGTGTGGTAAAACTTAAAAGGACAGTCTTGCTTCTTACATGTGATATTAGGGGAGCTGAGCGGGGCAGTTGCAAGAGAGAAACAAGAAATCCTAAATTATGTTGTGTATCAGTGACTTGGAGTTTTTGTTGACTTTGTATTCCTAAAATCTGACCCATTAGAAGACTATTTTTTACTTATAGAAAAATCATTCTTGTTCTTTTATAGTGACATATCTGTGGACACATTTTAATCTCTTCTAATGCAAATTTTCCCTTTTGATATTAATGTGTTTTTTTTTTTTGATCTTACAGAAATGTTCCACTCTTGAAAACATTTAGAAATCATTTAGTCTCACCCCCTTATTTGAAAAACACAAAAGATTTTTGTTTTGTATTTTGAGGCACACAAAAGATAACATGACTTAATCATAGAGAGAATTTTTCATGTCAATTCTAAGATCAGTTTTAATGATTAAATAATCTTTAATTTTGTCTAATTTTTTTGCTGTAGAAATGTCCCAAATTGCATGGAATTAGCATCGATTGGTAAGCCCCCTGATAAAAAGAAAATGTGTAATCAGAAAGAAAATCCTGCAAGGAAAGAAGATCATGAAAAGTTATTACGAAATACACTTCCTGTAATAGGTGTTTGGGAATTTGAACGTGATGATGATGAATATATTAAATTCCTTGATCTCTTCTTGAGTTACATTCTTGAAAGAGACCTACTTAATTTGAGGGATGCTGGCATTCCATTTCTAACCAGTTTTTCTGAAAAGCTTAGAGAACATGAACTTAATTCTGTACTTTTTGATGTACATGCAACATTGAAACGACGTCAGGGCAAAACTAAAAGCCAGAATGTGTTTAGAGCTGGTTCTTGCTTTGTTGTTGATCCTGAGTCCTCTGAAGCAGAAAAATCATCCTCTCTAAATGATGAATATGGCACACATTTAGAAAACCAGGCACTTTCATCATCAGTACTGGTTAATCAAGGGATCAAATCTTTTTTAGAATATCCTTTGAATGAAGTCAATAAGAATGAAGGAATGAGAGGATTATTTGGTTTAAAACAGAAGTCAATTTACAGAATACAAGCTGACACTAGAGAGAACTGTCTTATCCAGAGATCATCAAACCACATTTTTTGGACTCCCAAGCACATTAAAACTAGAAAATGTATTTTCAAAGCTATTCAGTGCAATGATATTAATCCTCAAGAAGATCTTCCTTTAGCACTAAATAACACATTTGGCAGTATAGGAAGACTGCTGGAATGGATGATAAGGTGGTCTAATAGACGACTACTCTGTGATTCTGGTATAACTGAGTCATCCTCTGAGTACAGTCCAGTAATTCATGTAAAGACCTCTACAGCTGCCATTCTTACATCATTATGGCTTTTGGAACAACCCTATTTTGCTACATATAAGGCAAAAAATGCCATTATTAAGGTAAGCATATCAATTTTTTATTACATACAAATGTGAATTCTCATTTTAAATTCAAACTATGTTTACATTTTCCCATCTTTTAAAGAATCATTAATTAATAGAAAATTAATGACAATGTTGATTGTAATCTATATCACCTATTTTTTTTCTTCTAGTGGTTCCTTTAATTCTTAACAATAGTTAAGGTGAAAGTGCTTTCAAAGAGGCTGTGAGGTTTTGAAGTTTTGTGTGTATTTATAAAAAAGAAAAAAGAGAAGGAGATAATTTTAAGTGATACTACACTTATGTTATTTCTCCTTTAAGTTTCAGGTTTTGGTTCAGATGAAGGACTATGTAACTCTTTAGTTTTAATTACTGATGTCTCATCAAGTCCATTAGGGAATCATTTTTCTTATACTCTCAGGCCAGAAGAGGTTGGAGAACAAACCCAGAAAGGCAGATAGGAGTCAGTAGAGGAGTTAGTGTTTAATTAACCATTCTTTCTTCCCTAGTCAATGGTAAATGCCTTTATTCTGAAATAGTTTATTCGAAGTTTAAGGATGTGAATGAGTGTGTGTGTGTGTGTGTATTTATTTTGTTTTATTTTTTATTCGTTTATTTTTTGAGACAAGAGTCTTGCTTTATCACGCAGGCTGGAGTACAGTCTTGGGATCACAGCTGCCTGTAACCTCAACCTCCTGGGCTCAATTGTTCCTTCTACCAGAATCTCCCAAGTAGCTGGGACAGCAGGCTCATGCCACTATGCCTGGCTAATTTAAGAATTTTTTTATAGAGACAGGGTGTCCCTTTGTTACCCAAGCTGGTCTCAAACTCCTTGGCTCAAGTGATCTTCCTGCCTTGGCCTCTCAAATTGTGGGGTTACAGGCATGAGCCACCACACCAGTACTCTTTTTTTTTCCCTTGAGACTGGTTTCTGTTGTCATAAGGCATACAGTTTATATGATACTGTGATATTTGTCATCCTTGAAATTTGTATTTCTAGGTAATGTATATGGAAATTTTAAGTGAGGCAAAAGGGATACCTACCTTGTGCTTTTAGCTGCGTGTATTTTTGTCTACTATGTCATTTTGAAATAACTACTGAATGTCTTTATAATATAGCAAAGGGAATGAAATGAGAATATTACAGTTTTTTTGCGACTGTTTTGTGGCCTGAAAACAATGACAATATGCCTTAAAAATTTGTAAGGCTGATTTCTTTTGAATACTATTTAGGTTGTCAGATTTGCTTTTTCCAGTTAGAATAAAGACTTGATCATTGCTTCAGCAACAAATATTGAGTTGTAGAAAGACAGTAAATATTTGATAAATGAATAAGAGAATTATTCAGAACTTCTGTAGAAAGAATGAAAAAATTCAAAATATGGTGAAAAATAAAGGGTTCAATAAATACTAAATACTGTAAATGGTTTGCTTTAGATGATAGAAAATCGTGACCCTGGGTATCAGATTGGACCCCATATTGAGAGGGAGAGCAAAACAGTTGCTGGTGGTTCAGTTGCAGTAGCAACTCCAGATGGAACTGAGGACAGAAATGGTCAGAATAAATCTTGTCAAAATATCTTGAAGTAAGTTGCTGATTTTAGTCTTTTTTCAATAGAAGGCACCTGGTTTGATGGCGTTTGGGCTTAAAGGGAAGAATCAAATCCTTGAAAGTTGAAGGAATGAGCATTTTTTGAAGGAGAGGAACTGGAAGTGAGCTTTCTGAGGTGCTTTAACAGTTCACTGCAAATTGTATTTATTCCCTGTTCATCTAGCTCATATCTTCTGAGAGAACAATTAATTCATACTGAGAAATTCCTTTATCAACTTATTTCCCATATCAGAAGTTGAACTAATCCTTTAATCCATTTTTATATATGAAGCAATACTAGGAGTGATAAAGCTTTGAATACCAAGGCAAAAGCCATTATAGCATGAAGAGTCCTTTGTGAGAATGATAATTTTAGATAAGTTGAAATTATTGGAGTCGTTTGAGTAAATAAAAACCAGGATGTTTAGTTATTTATTAAACGATCTTTAACTGAGCTTCTATTATGTATCAAATATTTTTTTAAAAGATTTTATAATTAAGAAACCAAAGTTTGTTCTTTGTTTTTAAGACTGTGAATTATGCCAAGTTCGTGCCATTGAACTCCAGCGTGGGTGACAGAGCGAGACTTCGTCTTAAAAAAACAAACAAACAAAACTGAATTAAATGTAAAGCAGCTCTTTATCTCCAAGAATGAGTAATGATTTTAGTTGCTCCATTGTTTTTCAGTAGAATGCCAACTGAAGCAAAAAATTCTGATATAAAAGAAATCAATGATGATATTATTTCCATCATTCATGATACTAAAAAAGAATTTATAGATATTGATGAGAATCTTTTAAAAGTAGAAGCATTTATACAAGAGGAAATGGATATGCACATATCAGACTATAAAGGTCAGTTCATTTAGATAATCTACTTTTTGACTTTATTAATTTGAAATTGGTAAATATTATCTGAGATAACTTATTTAGTCTTATACCTGTTAGTATGTTTACAATAGCCTAAAATAAAAAATTAAGGGAATTAAATATTTATGAAATATTGAACATATTAACTCTAATTTTGGTTTTAATAAAACCAAGAAGATCTAAGGTATTTTTATGCTGGTGCTCTTTTACAGTTGTTGGGCCTCTTGTGCTGCTTGTATAATAATTATGGTCTCTTAATTTCTATAAACCAACTCTATAAACCTCTCCCCAGCAGTCTTCCTTAAAACAGAAGCTCTCAGAGCATTACATGGAATTAAACATACTAAATAATAAGGCCTCTCAAGGCTCATCTGGGATTTACCTGATGATGGTGGAATAGACTCCAGGTGTTTTAGAAGACTGTCTTTATAAAAAGAATAGAAAACATTTCTATCATTATATTGTTTCTGGAAATATTCCCTGAGCTGTCTACAAGTCAATAGCTTATTTTTAAATGATCATTTTTCTCTTCATCTTCACTTATTGCTAGAAGACATCGAAGAATCTGTTGGAGGTTTCAGAAGTCCCAATCTTGCCATTTGCATGATGACTTTACCACAGCAGTTAGAAGAAGTAAGTCAATAAATAGTGGTTACAATTATTCATCTTTCATTTTGTGTAGTGTTTAAATTACACATGTTTTTATTCATTGTTATTAAGTATATCAAAGCAAGGCTAACTCTTAAAAATGCACTATGGATTATAGAATATAGCCATGCTGTATGGCATTTTTCTTTCCTTGAAATTGTAGTGCAGTGTAATAACATGTCTAATAATTTCAGGCAATGAAATTTTCTTGCCATAAACTGCTTTAGTAAATTTATTTAATCAGAAGTAGCAAATGTGTCTTTATTTAAAAAGTATAGAAGTATGACCAAGCATGGCAACTGATCCCTGTAATCACAGCACTTTGGGAGGGTTGAGGCAGGAGGATTGCTTGACGCCAGGAGTTTTAGACAGGCCTGGTCAAGAGAACAAGACTCCATCTCTACAAAAAATTTTAAAATAGCCAGGCATGGTGGCATGCACCTGTAATAGTCCCAGCTACTTGGAAGGCTGAGGTGGGAGGATCATTTGTCTCCAGGAGTTTGAGGCTGTAGTGAGCTATATTTTGCTACTATGCTGTGGCCTGGGCAGCAGAGTGAGACCCTGTCTTAATAAAAAAATTAAAAGGTATAATTCAGCTGTAGTATACTTTTATGCATATATGTACTTTTTGGTATTATTTTTCTCAAAACTCTATACACTTAATTTCCAGAGGGGAACATAGACATTTCCAATTATTGTAACACTTCTGTTTTGTTTTGAGATGGGGGTCTTGCTCTTCTGCCTAAGTTAGAGTGCAGTGGCATGATCATGGCTCACTGCAGCCTGGAACTCCTGGAATAAAGTGATCCTCTTGCCTCAGCCTCCCAAGTAGCTGAGACTGACTACAGGTGCATACCACTATGCCCTGTTAATTTTTTTTTTTTTTTAATTTTTTGTTTAGACTGGGTCTTGCTATGTTGCTTAGGCTGGTCTTGAACTCCTAACCTCAGCCTTTCAAAGTGCTGAGATTACAGGTGTGAGCTACTGTGCCCTATCTGTTATAACAATTCTTTTATTTATTTTTATTTTTGAGACAGTGTCTTGCTCTATTGCCCAGGCTGGAGTGCAGTGGCATGATCTTGGCTCACTCCAGCTTCTGTCTCCCAGGTTCAAGCAATTCTCCTGCCTCAGCTTTCCAAGTAGCTGTGACTACAGGTGCGCACCACCACGCCTGACTAATTTTTTGTATTTTTTGTAGAGACAGAATTTCACCATGTTGGCCAGGCTTAGCTCAAACTCCTGACCTCAAGTGATCCACCCGCCTTGTAATAGTTCTTTTAAAAAGGATTCCATTTTCCTGGTTTTATAGTTGTTTTTGCAGGAAAATTAATAATCGTGTAGTCTTAGGTGTATATAATTTACAATGTGTTACTCTACTGACACAATCTTGTTTTTGTAACTTAGCATGCTCAATAGCCCGGTGTGACAGGCTGGAGGCAATTCACACAGTATAAAGATATGGTCAGAGCAGGACTGGGAGTACATTTTACTGTTTGATTTCTCACTTACTTGTAGACTGTTGTTACTCTGGTTAAGTGGCTAATATGAAATCAAAATACTCAAGACAGTAATACCTATTTGTTTTACTTGTTTTCTTTTTGGGTGCTATTAATTTTAACAGCAGTTTACAGAAGAGGTTCAGTATCAAAAGGAAGAACCGCTGGAGACAAATATGGAGGAAAAATCGACTGAACAGAAGAGGTAAGGAGGAGAAAAGTATGAGAGTGATTGTCACTGGTTTGGTTACCTCAGTGAAGCTTTCAGCTTTTCTTCCATCACAATTTACAATACATGTTTTAGGGTGCTACTGTGTTTCTAGTGAACTGTAACTTCAGTTTATAGTTATGGTAAAATGATTTTTGGTAAATGTTATACTTCTGTGTATTGATCAAGTGAAATAAATAGTGATATCTAAAATGCCTTTTTGTTCTTTCATTACTGTCAGCCTTATCAAAATAAAATAAAGCTGTAAATACGCCAAAGTATATTTAGCTGCCAACTAGGGAACCACTTTCCACAGATTCCATTTTTTTGAATCAAAGAATCATGAATTATTTCATATATACATAAAATCTTTCACTGTTGTGATGATTACTGTACACTATAGGGTTATGATGTACATATACACTGCCAGCTAGCTTATTGCTTCAAGGGGAGCTGAAGGCAGTTTTCAGGTGTTGCAGTTTGGACATGATTTCTAAGTCTTTAGAATTTTAAAGTTCTAGAATTTTAGAATTCCCTTAGATAAGAAAGGAAACATAATTAGATTTTCTTTCCCTTTTCAGTATACAAATTTTGTTTAGTTTTTCTGTGGACCATTAAGAATATATTTAATACTATGTGCCTTTACAAGTAATTTAGATACTTCTAGTCATAAAAACTATTTCTTAGGAAAATTACCCAAGGAGAGAGAGAGAAGACAAACCCTAATCTTTACAGTTTCTTTTTTCTTTTCTTTTCTTTATTTTTTTTTGGCAAACAGAGTCTTGCTCTGCTGCCCAGGGTAGAGTGCAGTGACGCAATCTTGGTTCACTGCAACCTCTGCCTCCCATGATCAAGCCATCCTCCTGCCTCTGCCTCTTCAGTAGCTTGGACTGCAGGTGTGCACCACCATGCCTAGCTAATTTTTTTTGTATTTTTTGTAGAGATGGGATTTTGCCATGTTGCCCAGTCTGGTCTCAAACTCCTGAGCTCAAGAGATCCCCTGCCTTGGACTCACACAGTGCTAGGATTACTACAGGTGTGAGCCACTCTGCCTGGCCTCTTTATAGTTTCAAATGTGACAGTGGGCTCTAGTGTGCTGAGCAACGTGTCTTCCTCTTTTATAGGTGAAATTTGGGTCTTGGCTAACCTCATGTCCCCTCATTTTGGATTCTGTTGTATTTATTGCTGAGCAATCAGCAGTGTTTAAGCGGTGTTTTAAGTCATCCAGACATATTTTTTTTGCTTTTGCTTAGATCTCTTTCTAATTGCTATGGAGACAAATGTAAACAGATTGTGATTATGAGCTAAACATTATAGAATATTAGAGGTTGTTTAGACTCTAAGATGGCTGAGCATAGATCACTCATACCTTAGATAATGCAAAGAATATCTTGCCTCCTAATCACCTATTAATTTTTATTGATAGTATGATTGAAGGCTTTTCATTTCCTGATCATACCACTCTTCAATCAATGCAAGTAGATACAAGTTCAGAAATTTCTAGGTAAGAAGTTTTGCCTGCTATACTTTTTAAAAATTGTTGTGTTATATAAATAAATCAGAGTGAAAATATGTCGACTGTACAATTTTTGAAACAATTGCTACATTTTTGACTAAAAACTAAGAATATAAATGAAAGCAACATAAAGCATTGAAAGAGCAGCATAAGCACACATATCTGATATCTTTCATTACTGAGTTTCCACTAGCAATTTTATTTTAAAGTTATATAGGAACTATGTTAGAACGGTGTTTTCTGAAAAAAAAAGTAATTATATATTATTGAAATATGAAGTTGTTGGTCATTTTCATCTTCTAACTGATTTCTTACAGGGTTTGAAATGCTTTTAATTCTCTCATAGAACAGATTCAACCAGTTCTTTTGAATGTCTCTTACAGAGATTGAACAGAGTGTTTAGTGTTTAGAAATCTTGCCAAAATAGGAGGAAAATATAGCACAGCTTTACCTCAGAAAAATTTTACGTGGTTAGAATTGAGACCTGTAAAAAGCAAAGCCCAATAAAGTTGTTTTAAAATGGGCAGCTCTGTGCAAGGAGACCTTCTTCACGAAATGTTACTGTGTCTGCATGAGTGGTCTCACCCAGATCCAGCCCTTCCCCTGCACTCAGTTTGGCAAGAGCTTCTCAGACTGGGCTAGGTTGTGCAAACCCAGCTGTACCTACAACTCAGTGAATCACTACACCTGCCCCTACTGTCCCAAGGCTTTCTTGAGTGCCAGTGACTTGTACAAGCATGAATGTACCCATCTTGTGCCCAAGGAGACCCCTACAGCCCTGGAGCCCCTTGTGGCTTTACTAGGAATGCCTGAAGAGGAGCCAGCCTGAAACTCATACCCCCTTCCATCACACTTCAGGGACCCAGCCCCCACAGGGTGCCTCCTGAACCTCCTTTGGTCCCAGCTCACTCTTTCGACTTGAGATCCCTGTCACTGGGCAGCTGACTCACTTGTCACCCAACTAAGAAAGCTGGGGACAGTGGAGGCTAGCAGCAGCTGTGAGAAACATGATTCTCTAGGAGCAACACTCAAAGCTTTCACTTTGGCAAAAAAAGAAAAGGCAGATCAGTTGTAATGCCTATTTTTGTGAATTTGCCAAATAAAGTTTTTTTAATTGAGCATGTTAGATACTCAATAAAAGGCAAATATTATTGCCGAATGAGATTGAGTGTAAACCTAAATAAGTCTATATGAAATTTAATAAGTTTTTTTTCTTTTTTAGAAACAGTGATCTATTTGAATCTGATAATTGCCTGCTCCCTTGCGTAGTTTATAAACTGTAGAAAACATTGAATATCTGCTATGTTTGAGGAATCATCCCCCAACAGTCATTTTGTTTAAAAAAAACCCCAAGACCTTGCGTTCATCTTTAATTTTTATTTGTAAATAAGCATTTTATGTTAGGCTTTATTATACATTTAAACTCTGAGATTTGCTTGGAAATTAAATGTTCACCATAATGTTGTTTCACATTTAATGATGACAAACAGTAGTTTTCTCTACTTATCCTAGAATTAACTTTTTTAACCCATTTTTTCCCTAGTTTTCTTAACATGCTGAATCATTAATTTTAGTCAAAAACATAATCCTGAGCCAAATTACAAATTATGAAGTCTGTACAACTAATCAGAATGATTGCACAGGTCTCAAATTCAGATGTCCACAGGGACCAGGCAAGTAAAAATAAATGTCAGCTCTTGGGTATGCAACAACATGTGAAGGGTCCGTCACTGACTACACAGTCCCTTAAGAAAGATGAAAATTGAGCTGATGACAAATGTATGTGGTGGCCGACAGGCACTAGAGAGAAAGGCTTTAAGGCTTAAATTTCCAGAAAACTACCAGAATAACCTTTCTATTGGAAGACAAAAGTGGGATCAAACTATTCAAATCATGTTCAGTTTGTTTTTTGTCAATTAATGCATGTTTTTTATTTAAATGCTTTCTACATAGTGCACAGATTTCTACATATAAAGACAAATCTTCCTCACTTCCACCTCTGATATCAAATGGAGTCAATGTTGCTTCACAAACACCTGTTCCAACACCTCAGAAGACCCAGAGAAATGAATGCAGGGATCAGTTACCAGATTGTTCTGATTCCATTAGGCAAATGCTCCAAGATGAAATGTTTAAATTAGTTCAGGTAAGCACATCTCTATATAAGTAAGTAAATCTACATATAGTACATGTAGGGTTTTAAAATATTAACAGATTTCCAGAAACAGACAAGTTAAAATGATATCACAAGCATTCCTCTGCTTTGGGTACTTTTCATTTTTCATTCAAATGTAACTAGTCGGATGCAGTGGCTCACGTTTGTAATCCCAACACTTTGGGAGGTCAAGGCAGGAGGATTGCTTGAGGCCAGAAGTTTGAAACCAGGTTGGGCAACATAGCGAGACCCCCAACTCTACTAGGAAAAAAAAGGCTCATAGTTCTAGGGCCTATAGGTCTAGGCTAAGCTACCTGCTTCTCACAAAGACCTCTTTTTACTGAGCTCTTTGGGATGCAGCTGCTCACAAAAGTGAGGTTGGGAGTAATCAAACCAGGTCAGTGGGCTCCTACTCAAAAGTATCTGATGCTTATTTTCCAATTGACACTATCACATATTTCTTATCCATATTTATTGTGCTTGAGTTGAAACCGTCAGCTGCATTTCAAATTACTATTCACTTTGACTTTATCATACCTGGCTATATTTTTTTCTTCTTTTTCTTTTTTTTAAATTTATTTTATTGCATTTTAGGTTTTGGGGTACATGTGAAGAACATGCAAGATTGTTGCATAGGTACACATGTAGCAGTGTGATTTGCTGCTTTCCTCCCCATCACCAATATCTGGCATTTCTCCCCAAGCTATCTCTCCCCAATTCCCTACCCCCCACCGTCCCTCCCCTATTTCCCCCCAACAGACCCCAGTGTGTAGTGCTCCCCTCCCTGTGTCCATGTGTTCTCATTGTTCAACACCCGCCTATGAGTGAGAACATGCAGTGTTCGATCTTCTGCTCTTGTGTCAGTTTGCTGACAATGATGGTTTCCAGGTTCATCCATGTCCCTACAAAGGACACAAACTCATCATTTTTGATGACTGCATAATATTCCATGGTGTATATGTGCCACATTTTCCCTGTCCAGTCTATTATCGATGGGCATTTGGGTTGGTTCCAGGTCTTTGCTATTGTAAACAGTGCTGCAATGAACATTCATGTTCACGTGTCCTAATGGTAGAATGATTTATAATCCTTTGGAAATATACTAAATAATGGGATTGCTGGGTCAAATGGAATTTCTATTTCTAGGTCCTTGAGGAATCGCCACACTGTCTTCCACAATGGTTGAACTAATTTACACTCCCACCAACAGTGTAAAAGTGTTCCTATTTCTCTACATCCTCTCCAGCATCTGTTGTATCTAGATTTTTTAATGATCGCGATTCTAACTGGCATGAGATGGTATCTCAGTGTAGTTTTGATTTGCATTTCTCTGATGATGAGCATTTTTTCATGTTTGTTGGCCTCATGTATGTTTTCTTTTGTAAAGTATCTGTTGATATCCTTTGCCCACTTTTGAATGGGTTTATTTGTTTTTTTCTTGTAAATCTGTTTTAGTTCTTTGTAAATTCTGGATATCAGCCCTTTGTCAGATGGGTAAACTGCAAAATTTTTTCCGATTCTGTTGGTTGCCGATTCACTCTAATGACTGTTTCTTTTGCCGTGCAGAAGCTGTGGAGTTTGATTAGGTCCCATTTGTCTATTTTGGCTTTTGTTGGCAATGCTTTTGGTGTTTTGGTCATAAAGTCCTTGCCTACGCCTATGTCCTGAATGGTTTTGCCTAGATTTTCTTCTAGGGTTTTTATGGTTTTAGGTCTTATCTTTAAGTCTTTAATCCATCTGGACTTAATTTTAATGTAAGGTGTCAGGAAGGGGTCCAGTTTCTGCTTTGTGCACATGGCTAGCCCGTTTTCCCAACACCATTTATTAAACAGGGAATCCTTTCCCCATTGCTTGTTTTTGTGAGGTTTGTCAAAGATCAGATGGTTGTAGATATGTTGTGTTGCCTCCGAGACCTCTGTTCTGTTCCATTGGTCCATATCTCTGTTTTGGTACCAGTACCATGCTGTTTTGATTACTGTAGCCTTGTAGTATAGTTTGAAGTCCGGTAGTGTGATGCCTCCTGCTTTGTTCTTTTTGCTTAGAATTGACTTGGCTATGTGGGCTCTCTTTTGGTTCCATATGAAGTTTAAGGTGGTTTTTTCCAGTTCTGTGAAGAAGGTCATTGGTAACTTGATGGGGATAGCGATGAATCTGTAAATTACTTTGGGCAGTATGGCCATTTTCACAATATTGATTCTTCCTAACCATGAACATGGAATGTTTCTCCATCTGTTTGTGTCCTCTCTTATTTCGTTGAGCAGTGGCTTGTAGTGCTCCTTGAAGAGTTCCTTACGTTCCTTGTTAGTTGTATTCCTAGGTATTTTATTCTCTTTGTAGCAATTGTGAATGGCAGTTCATTCTTGATGTTGCTCTCTTTAACTCTGTTATTGGTGTATAGGAATGCATGTGATTTTTGCACATTGATTTTGTATCCTGAGACTTTGCTGAAGTTGCTTATCAGTTTCAGGAGATTTGGGGCTGAGACGATGGGGTCTTCTAGATATACAATTGTGTCGTCTATAAATAGAGACAATTTGACTTCCTCCTTTCCTATTTGAATACCCTTTATTTCTTTTTCTTGCCTGATTGCCCTGGCTAGAACTTCCAGTGCTATAATGAATAGGAGTGGTGAGAGAGGGCATCCTTGTCTAGTGCCAGATTTCAAATGAATCCTTCCAGTTTTTGCCCATTCAGTGTGATATTGGCTGTTGGTTTGTGGTAAATAGATTTTATTATGTTAGGATACATTCTGTCAATACCTAGGTTATTGAGGGTTTTTAGCATAAAGGGCTGTTGAATTTTGTCAAAGGCCTTCTCTGCAACAATTGAGATAATCATGTGTTTTTTGTCTTTGGTTCTGTTTATGTGGTGAATTACATTTACAGACTTGCGTATGTTGAACTAGCCTTGCATCTCTGGGATGAAGCCTACTTGATCATGGTGAAGAAGCTTTTTGATGTGCTGTTGCAACTGGCTTGCCAGTATTTTATTGAATATTTTTGCGTCTATGTTCTTCATGGATATTGGCCTGAAGTTTTCTTTTCTTGTAAGTCTCTGCCAGGTTTTGGTATCAGGATGATGTTGGTCTCATAAAATGATTTGGGAAGGATTCCCTTTTTTTGGATTATCTGGAATAGTTTCAGAAGGAATGGTACCAGCTCCTCTTTGTATGTATGGTAGAATTCGGCTGTGAACCAATCTGGACCTGGGCTTTTTTTGGGTGGTAGGCTCTTAATTGCTGCCTCAACTTCAGACCTTGTTATGGGTCTGTTCAAGGTTTCGGCTTCTTCCTGTTTTAGGCTTGGGAGGAGGCAAGTGTCCAGGAATTTATCCATTTCTTCCAGGTCTACTAGTTTATGTGCATAGAGTTGTTTGTAATAATCTCTGATGATTTTTTGAATTTCTGTGGAATCTGTGGTGATATCCCCTTTATTGTTTTTTATTGCATCAATTTGGTTATTCTCTCTTATCTTTTTTATTAATCTGGCTAGTGGTCTATTTTGTTGATCTTTTCAAAATACCAGCTCTTGGATTTATTGATTTTTTTTGAAGCGTTTTTTGTGTCTCTATCTCCTTCAGTTCTGCTCTGATCTTAGCTATTTCTTGTCTTCTGCTAGGTTTTGAGTTTTTTTGATCTTGCTCCTCTAGTTCTTTCAATTTTGAAGATAGGGTGTCAATTTTAGATCTCTCCTTGCTTCTCATGTGGGCACTTATTGCTATTTATTTTCCTCTAGAGACTGCTTTAAATGTGTCCCAGAGATTCTGCTATGTTGTGTCTTTATTCTCGTTTGTTTCGAAGAACATCTTTATTTCTGCCTTCATTTCATTGTTTATCCAGTCAACATTTAAGAGCATGTTGTTCAGTTTCCATGAAGCTGTGCGGTTCTGAGTTAGTTTTTGAATTCTGAGTTCTAACTTGATTGCACTGCGGTCTGAGAGACGGTTTGTTATGATTTCATTTTTTTTGCATTTTCTGGGAGTGATTTACTCCCAATTATGTGGTCAATTTTAGAGTGGGTGTGATGTGGTGCTGAGAAGACTGTATATTCTGTGGATTTGGGGTGGAGAGTTCTGTAAATGTCTATTAGGTTAGCTTGGTTCAGGCCTGAGTTCAAGTCCTGGATATCCTTGTTAATTTTCTGTCTTGTTGATCTGTCTAATATTGACAATGGGGTGTTAAAGTCTCCCACTATAATTGTGTGGGAGTCTAAGTCTCTTTGTAAGCCATTAAGAACTTGCCTTATGTATTGGGTGTGTATATGTTTAGGATCATTAGCTCTTCTTGTTGCATTGATCCTTTTACCATTATGTAATGTCCTTCTTTGTCTCTTTTGATCTTTGGTGCTTTAAAGTCTAATTTATCAGAAATGAGAATTGGAACTCCTGCTTTTTTTTGCTCTCCATTTGCTTGGTAAGTCTTCCTCTATCCCTTTATTTTGAGCCTTTTTGTATCCTTGCATGTGAGATGGGTTTCCTGGATACAGCACACCGATGGGTTTTGGCTTTTTATCCAATTTGCCAGTCTGTGTCTTTTGATTGGGGGCATTTAGTCCATTTACATTTAGGGTTAATATTGTTATGTGTGAATTTGATACTGCCATTTTGGTGCTAGCTGGCTGTTTTGCCTATTAGTTGATGCAGATTCTTCATTGCGTTGATGCTCTTTACCATTTGTCATGTTTTTGGAGTGGCTGGTACTGGTTGTTCCTTTGTATGTGTAGAGCCTCTTTCAGGAGCTCTTGTAAATCAGGCCTGGTGGTGATGAAATCTCTGAGTAATTGCTTGTTCATGAAGGATTTTACTTCCCCTTTGCTTATGAAACTTAGTTTGGCTGGATATGAAATTCTGGGTTGAAAGTTCTTTTCTTTGAGGACGTTGAATATTGGCCCCCACTCTCTTTTGGCTTTTAGGGTTTCTGTTGAGAGATCTGCTGTGAGTCTGATGGGCTTCCCTTTGTGGGTAACCCGACCTTTCTCTCTGGCTGCCCTTAGCATTTTCTCCTTCATTTCAACCCTGGTGAATCTGACGATTATGTGCCTTGGGGTTGTTCTTTGTGAGGAATATCTTTGTGGTGCTCTCTACATTCCCTGGACTTTAATATTGGCCTGCCTTGCTAGGTTGGGGAAGTTTTCCTAGATAATATCCTGAAGAGTATTTTCCAGCTCGGATTCATTGTCTTCCTCGCATTCAGGTACACCTATCAAAGGTAGATTAGGTCTTTTCGCATAGTCCCAGTTTTCTTGGAGACTTTGTTGATAGCTTTTTACCCTTTTTTTCTCTAATTATGCCTTCCCATTTTATTTCATTGAGTTGATCTTAGATCTCTGATATCCTTTCTTCTGCTTGGTCAATTCACCTCTTGCAACTTGTGCATCCTTCGTGAAGTTCTCGTGTTGTGTTTTTCAGCTCCATCAATTCACTTATATTCCTTTCTAATTTGTCCATTCTCGTTAGCATTTCATCAAATCTTTTTTCAAGGTTCTTAGCTTCTTTGCATTGTGTTAGAACATGTTCTTTTAGTTCACAGAAGTTTCTTACTACCCACCTTCTGAAGTATGATTCTGTCATTTCGTCACACTCGTTCTCCATTCAACCTTGTTCCCTTGCTGGTGAGGAGTTATGATCCCTTGTAGGAGGAGAGGTGTTCTGGTTTCGGGTGTTTTCATCCTTTTTGTGATGGTTTCTTTCCATCTTTATGGATATATCTACCTGTCGTCTTTGTAGTTGCTGACTTTCAGATTGGGTCTCTGAGTGGACGTTCTGTTTGTTGATGATGAGGTTATTTCTGTTTCTTAGTTTTCCTTCTAACAATCTGGCCCCTCTGTTGTAGGACTGCTGAGGTCCACTCCAGGCCCTGCTTGGCTGGGGATTGCCTGCGGCAGCTGCAGAACCATAAGGGTTTCTACCAGTTTCTTTTTCTGCTATCTTTGTCCCTGAAGGATACCCGCCAAATGTCAGTCTGAGCTTTCCTTTATGAGGTGACTCTTTGGATATACAGGGGCCTGGGAGCTGCTTGAGGAGACAGTCTGTCCTTTATAGGAGCTCAGGTGCTGAGCTGTGAGCTCCGTTGTTCATTCGGAGCTGCTGGGCAGGTACGTTTATGTCTGCTGCAGCAGAACTCAAAAACCGCTTTTTGTTCCCAGGTGCTCTGTCCCCGGGAGTTAGGCCTTTATTTATGAGTTTCCATTGTGCTGCTGCCTTTTTTTTTCAGGGCTGCCCTGTCCAGTAAGGCGGCAGCCTGGTCACTGTCTGGCTGCAGAGGCTTTGCTGTGCTGCTGTGGGCTCTGCCCAGCTGCCGTGTGAACTTCCCTGCAGTCTTGTTTATATGGGTGTAGTTAGAAGTGCCTCGGCAATGGTGGCCCGCCTCTGTATTGGCCTACTCTCTATGTAATGGCAGGTTGCCTTGGCAATGGCGGGTTGCCTTGGCAACGGCAGGCAGCCTCGGCAATGGCGAGTTGCCTTGGCAACCGCAGGCTGCCTCAGCAATGGTGGACTACCTCCGTAGTGGTGAAGTGCCTTGGTAATGGTGGACGACCCTCCCCCACAGAGCTGGACCGTCCCGGGTTCAGCTGCGCTTGCTGTGAAACTCTCAATCCAGAGAGTTGCTGATTGCTGTTCTTTTGTGGGGGTGGGACCAGCCGAGCCTGATCAGCTGGCTCCCTGCCTCAGAGCCTTTTTTTTCTTTTTTAGTTTAACAAGCAACTCTATCCCAGTCGCCTGTTGAAAGGGTGCGGGGATCTGTGTGATTTCCCCTGCGGCGACTCACTGTGCTGGCTTAAACAGCGGCGCTGAGATTCGTGGTACTTTTTTTGCCTAGGAATCTCCTGGCCTGGCTCACTGTTCAGTCCCCTCTTTAATCAGATGGATGGGTGACTTCCTGGGTCTCCAATCGCCAGCCAGAAGGGCACCCGGACCAGTGTATTTTGTATGGAGAAGCGCGCACCAGGGCGCCGACAAAGCAGCCGTGCTGGGCAAAGCAGCCATGCAGGGCAAAGCAGCCGTGCGGACCAAAAGTTCCGCACCAGCCAAAACAGCAGTGCTGGTGACCCGTGGGGCTCCTCCGCCTGGGAATATCCTAGTCCATGGGCAATAAAAATGCAGCGTCCACTCACCCTCTGTGCTTTCACTGGGAGCTGCAACTTCGAGCTTTTCCTAAACGGCCATCTTGGATCTTCCCCCCCCTTTTTTTTTCTGTTGAATAACAATGGTTAATTATTTACCTTTTTTTTTAAATTTACATTTTTAGAAACATTAGTTACCCTCAGATCTAATCTTCTGCTCATTTGTCCTACATTTACTTCCATATTGTTTTATGTGATGTAATATATACCATTTCCATACTGATGATCCTTGGCACTAATTTTCTTTTTTTTTTTAATCTTTTAAATTTTCATTTTTTGAGACCGAATCTCACTCTGCTGCCCAGGCTGGAGTGCAGCCTCCACCTCCTGGGTTTAAGCATCGCCTGCCTCAGCCTCCTGAGTAGTTGGGATTATATATGTGTGCGCCACCACGCCTGGCTAATTTTTATATTTTTACTAGAGATGGAGTTTCACCATGTTGTCCAGGCTGATCTGGAACTCCTGACGTCAGGTGATCTGCCCACCTCGGCCTCCGAAAGTGCTAGGATTACAGGTGTGAGCCACTGTGCCCAGCTGCACTAATTTTCTCTTTAAGAATAGCTGTCCAGCATCTCCCCTGTCCCATGAAATTTACTGAAACTGATTTTATTCTTATTCTCCCAGTCCCTTCTTTCATTTTTCTATTTAGTAGCACCACCTATTCTACTACCTTAAAGTTTTAGAAGCGTCTCTCAAAATGTTGGATGGATTACTTGGGGACTTTACTGGTCACTGTCCTATACATTTAACAAGTTCTCCAGATAATTCTGATGCACACAAAAGATTAAGAATCACTATCTTCAAAAGTCATCTTTGCCTTCTTTTTTTTTTTTTTGAGACGGAGTTTTGCTCCTGTTGCTCAGGCTGGAATGCAGTAGCACCATCTTGGCTCACCGCAGTCTCTGCCTCCTGGGTTCAAGGGATTCTCCTGCCTCAACTTCCTGAGCAGCTGGGATCACAGGCATGTGCCACCGTGCCCGGCTGATTTTGTATTTTTAGTAGAGACAGGGTTTCTCCATGTTGGTCAGGCTGGTCTTGCATTCTCGACCTCAGGTGGTTCGCCCACCTTGGCCTCCCAAAGTTCTGGGAGTATAGGCATGAGCCACCACACCCAGCCATCTTTGCCTTCTTTCACAATCCTTACCCAATGTTTTACTATGCCCTCTTGAATTTTTTGCCCATGCTATATGTCTGTATAGCCAGTTGTTATTTCTATAGCAGTGGCTAACCTTAGATTCTCAGTTTCATACTTCCATTGTATTCTATTTGCATTTTCTAGGGCCCTTTCTTCATGTATAATTTTAATAATCTTATTCACCTATTTAAAAATCTTTAGTAAATTTCAGGAACAAATTTGTATAATATATGATATCAATCTTGTTTTAAAAACATAAAGAGGCCAAGCTCTTTATAGTTTTGCATTTTATAAGAGGTGGTTCACGACTTTAATCCTAGTGGTTTGGGAGGCTGAGGTGGGAGGATTGCTTGAGGCCAGGAATTTGAGACCAGCCTGGGCAACATAGCAAGACCTTATCTCTCCAAAAAACAAACAAACAAAAAAACCATTATCCAGGCATGGTAGCACATGCCTGTGGCCTAAGCTACTCGGCAGGCTGAGGTGGGAGGAGGCTTTGAGCCCAGGAATTTGAGGTTACAGTGGGCTATGATCAGGCCGCTGCACTCCAGTCTGGGTACCAAGGTGAGACCTTGTCTTGTACATAGATTCAATAGATAGCTAGACAAAGAAAGGAAATAAACTAAAATGTCGGTGCTCATTATTTTTGAGGGTAGAATTATGAATGATATTTTATTTTTAAAATGTTTTTTTCTATAAGTGTATATTTACTTTATAATTAAAAGAAAACTACATTTTTGAAAAGCTGTTTCCCTATTGGTTTGTTCTATCAAATGCAAATTCTTCTGTTGGCCTTCAAAAACTTCACTTTGAAGTTTTTACCTTCTCTCTTTTCTGGCCTTACTTTCACAAGTCTAGTGGTTCTCAAAGTGTGATGCCTGTATGAACAGTATCAACATACTTAGATCTCCGAAATACAAATTCTCATGCCCCTATCCTAGACCTGTTGAATCAGAAAGTTGGGATCGGGATCAGGAGAGTGGTTTAAGTCCTCCAGGTAATTGTGATGCATGCTGAAGTTTGAGAACTACTAAACTAGTCAATTTTTCATTATCCCTGCTATAAATCTCCTGTTCCACCTAAGCCAATATCTATGCTAGTGTTTCCCAGGCTTTTCTGGACATTGAAATAACCTGGTCATCTTAATGAATACATATGCTGGTTCCTATCCCTAGACATTGTGGTGTTATTGGTAGCGAGTGACCTGGTCATCGGGACTTATGAATACTTCTCAGGTGATTGTAAAGTGCAGCAGAGTTTGGGGACCACTGGTGTCTCACTTTACTTTCACCTAGTCAGCCTTTCCAAGGGAATTCCTTGCCCTTCACCTGTGTACTGCTTTCTGCTTATTTCTGAAAACTATTCAAAATACACTTATTCTTGGAATCTGTCTTTATCCCACTCTTTTGATCCCTGAGATGTTTATGGAAAGTGAATACTATAAACTGTTTACAAATAGTCCCAAGTTTCATTCGTATTTGTATGTCAGTTGACAGGAAGTTACCATTTTTTTCCTCTCCCTTTTAAAAAAATTTCCCTGACTATGTCTGCTGCTCAGCAATCATGATTCTCACAGATACTAAGACAAAGGTGTGACCATTGTAGAATATTCAGATGATTATTGTTGATTCCTTAGATTGTTTTTGTTATATTTTAAGATATCACTTCAATTTTTGTTTCATTCAAGCTGCAGCAGATCAACTTCATGAGCCTAATGCAAATAGTAGGATCATCCTTTGCTAACCTCCCCAATACACAACAACTTCTACAGCAGTCTCAGTCTGTGCGCTTAGGGGGAAGCCAAGAATCAAACCTAAGAGGATGTGGTGATGTTGAAGACAGCAACAAAAATCTTGAGGAGAGATTTTTTATCAAATCACAGTCAATGGGAGAGAACACCAGAGAGCCTCACAAGAATAGCCCATACTGCCATGAAGGAACTATCCCATCTGGTCAAAATACAAATGAAAATGTACAGGTAATGTATATAAAAATACCATTAATGGCCGGGTGCGGTGGCTAACATCGGTAATCCTAGCACTTTGGCAGGCTGAGGCAGGTGTATCACCTTTGGTCGGGAGTTTGATCCATCAGCCTGGCCAACATGGTGAAACCTCGTCGCTACTAAAAATACAAAAATTAGCCAGTCATGGTGGTGTATGCCTGTAATCCCAGCTACTCAAGAGGCTGAAGCAGGAGAATCCCTTGAACTTGGGAGGCAGAGGTTGCAGTGAGGCAAGATCATGCCATTATACTCTAGCCTGAGTGACAGTGAGTCAGTGAGACTCTGTCTTAAAGAAAAAAAAATCATGTTCTTTATTTATTTTCCATTTTATTGGGCTACATATTTTTATAGAGAAGTTTTTTTTTGCTTTCTAAATTGCATTTTAGGTTTTGGGGTACATGTGAAGAACATGTAAGATTATTGCTTAGGTACACACATGGCAGTATGGTTTGCTGCCTTCCTCCCCATCACCTATATCTGGCATTTCTCCCCATGTTATCCCCTCCAACTCCCCACCCCGGCTGTCCCTCCCCTGTTTCCCTCCCACAGACCCCAGTGTGTGATGCTCCCCTCCCTGTGTCCATGTGTTCTCATTGTTCAACACCCGCCTATGAGTGAGAACATGTGGTGTTTGATTTTCTGTTGTTGTGTCAGTTCGCTGAGAATGATGGTTTCCAGGTTCATCTGTGTCCCTACAAAGGACATGAACTCATCATTTTTGATGGCTGCATAGTATTCCATGGTGTATATGTGCCACATTTTTCCTGTCCAGTCTATCATTGATAGGCATTTGGGTTGGCTCGAAGTCTTTGCTATTGTAAACAGTGCTGCAATGAACATTCGTGTGCATGTGCCCTTATAACGGAACAATTTATAATTCTTTGGATATATACCCAGTAATGGGATTGCTAGGTCAAATGGAATTTCTGTTTCTAGGTCCTTGAGGAATTACCACATTGTCTTCCACAATGGTTGAACTAATTTACACTCCCACCAACAGTGTAAAAGTGTTCCTATTTCTCCACATCCTGTCCAGCATCTGTTGTCTCCAGATTTTTAATTATCATCATTCTAACTGGCGTGAGATGGTATCTCAATGTAGTTTTGATATGCATTTCTCTAATGACCAGTGATGATGAGCATTTTTTCATGTTTGTTGGCCTCATATATGTCTTCTTTTGTAAAGTGTCTGTTCATATCCTTTGCTCACTTTTGAATGGGCTTGTTTTTTTCTTGTAAATCTGTTTTAGTTCTTTGTAGATTCTGGATATTAACCCTTTGTCAGATGGGTAGATTGCACAAATGCTTTCCCATTCTGTTGGTTGCCAATTCACTCTAATGACTGTTTCTTTTGCTGTGCAGAAACTGTGGAGTTTGATTAGGTCCCATTTATCTATTTTGGCTTTTGTTGCCAGTGTTTTTGGTGTTTTAGTCATGAAGTCCTTGCCTATGCCTATGTCCTGAATGGTTTTACCTAGGTTTTCTTCTAGGGTTTTTATTATGTTAGGTATTATGTGTAAGTCTTTAATCCACCTGGAGTTAATTTTAATGTAAGGTGTCAGGAAGGGGTCCAGTTTCTGCTTTGTGCACATGGCTATCCCGTTTTCCCAACACCATTTATTAAACAGGGAATCCTTTCCCCATTGCTTTTTTTTTGTGAGGTTTGTCAAAGATCAGATGGTTGTAGATGTGTGGCGTTGCCTCCGAGGCCTCTGTTCTGTTCCATTGGTCTATATCTCTGTTTTGGTACCAGTACCATGCTGGTACCATTTTGATTACTGTAGCCTTGTAGTATAGTTTGAAGTCTGGTAGTGTGATGCCCCCCGCTTTGTTCTTTTTGCTTAGAATTGACTTGGCTATGCGGGCTCTCTTTTGGTTCCATATGAAGTTTAAGGTGGTTTTTTCCAGTTCTGTGAAGAAGGTCATTAGTTACTTGATGGGGATAGCGTTGAATCTAAATTAGTTGGGGCAATATGTCCATTTTCACAATATTGATTCTTCCTAACCATGAGCATGGAATGTTTCTTCATCTGTTTGTGTCCCCTCTTATTTCGTTGAGCAGTGGCTTGTAGTTCTTCTTGAAGAGGTCCTTTACATTCTTGTTAGTTGTATTCCTAGGTATTTTACTCTCTTTGTAGCAATTGTGAATAGCAGTTTGTTCTTGATTTGGCTGTCTTTTAGTCTGTTATTGGAGTATAGGAATGCATGTGATTTTTGCACATTGATTTTGTATCCTGAGACTTTGCTGAAGTTGCTTATCAGTTTCAGGAGATTTTGGGCTGAGGCGATGGGGTCTTCTAAATATATAATCATGTTGTCTGCAGATAGAGACAGTTTGACTTCCTCCTTTCCTAATTGAATACCCTTTATTTCTTTTTCTTGCCTGATTGCTCTGGCTATAACTTCCAATACTACATTGAGTAGGAATGGTGAGAGAGGGCATGCTTGTCTAGTGCCAGATTTCAAAGGGAATGCTTCCAGTTTTTGCCCATTCAGTATGATATTGGCTGTGGGTTTGTCATAAATAGCCTGGTCTTGAACTCCTGACTCAGGTGATCCACCCACGTTGACCTCCCAAAATGCTAGGATTACAGGCATGAGCCACCGTGCCCGGCCAGGGTTTGGCTTTTTATCCAATTTGCCAGTCTGTGTCTTTTGATTGCGTTGTTTAGCCTGTTTACATTTGTGGTTTATGTTGTTATGTGTGAATTTGATCCTGCCATTTTGATGCTAGCTGGCTGTTTTGCCTATTAGTTGATGTAGTTTCTTCATTGTGTCGATGCTCTTTACCAGTTGATATGTCTTTGGAGTGGCTGGTACTGGTTGTTCCTTTCTATGTTTAGTGCCTCTTTCAGGAGATCTTGTAAAGCAGGCCAGGTGGTGATGAAATCTCTGAGTAATTGCTTGTTCATGAAGGATTTTACTTCCCCTTTGCTTATGAAGCTTAGTTTGGCTGGATATGAAATTCTGGGTTGAAAGTTCTTTTCTTTGAGGATGTTGAATATTGGCCCCCACTCTCTTTTGGCTTTTAGGGTTTCTGTTGAGAGATCTGCTGTGAGTCTGATGGGCTTCCCTTTGTGGGTAACCCGACCTTTCTCTCTGGCTGCCCTTAGCATTTTCTCCTTCATTTCAACCCTGGTGAATCTGATGATTATGTGCCTTGGGGTTGCTCTTCTTGACGAATATCTTTGTGGTGTTCTCTTTATTTCTTGGACTTGAATATTGCCCTGCTTTGTTAGGTTGGGGAAGTTTTCCTGGATAATATCCTGATGAGTATTTTCCAGCGTGAATTCATCCTCTCCATCACATTCAGGTACACCTATCACACGTAGATTAGGCCTTTTCACATAGTCCCATATTTCTTGGAGACTTTGTTCATTTCTTTTTATCCTTTTTTCTCTAATCTTGTCTTCTCATTTTATTTCGTTGAGTTCATCTTTGAACTCTAATATCCTTTCTTCTGCTTGGTCAATTTGGCTATTGAAACTTGTGTATGCTTTGCGAAGTTCTCGTGTTGTATTTTTCAGCTCCATCAATCATTTATATTCCGCTATAAGCTATTTATTCTCGTTAGCATGTCATTAAACCTTTTTTCAAGGTTCTTAGTTTCTTTGCATTGTGTTCTTTTAGCTCAGAGAAGTTTCTTATTACTCACCTTCTGAAGCTTGTTTCTGTGAATTCATCAGTCTCATTTTCCATCCAGCCTTGTTCCCTTGCTGGTGAGGAGTTGTGATCCCTTGAAGGAGGAGAGGTGTTCTAGTTTTGGGTGTTTTCATCCTCTTTGTGTTGGTTGCATCACATCTTTGTGGATTTATTTAACTGTGGTCTTTGTAGTTGTTGACTTTCAGGTGGGGTCTCTGAGTGGATATCCAGTTTGTTGATGATGAAGTTATTTACTCCTGTTTCTTAGTTTTCCTTCTAACAGTCAGGCCCCCCTGCTGTAGGACTCCTGTAGGTCCACTCCAGGCCCTGCTTGCCTGGGGATCACCTGTAGCGGCCTCCGTTCTGTCACTGGGAGCTGCAATCCCAAGCTGCTCCTAATCAGCCATCTTGGATCCCTCCCAAAAATCATGTTCTAAGTAGTTCAATTGTTGTCACATTTTTTGTTGAGTAAATACTTTTTTTTTCTTTTTTAGCAGTTCCTACATTTTACCTACTTCAAATCATACTGAACACCATTTACAAAGTAAGGAATTTCTAATATATGCTAAACTTACACGATATATTTTTTTCTCTTGCAGAGTGTTCCACATGGGAGTATTCCTCTATGTCAATTAAATGGCCTGCCCCAGAAAAGAGGACCAATTCCATCATCTCAAAACTTACCATCCAGTTTGTTTTATCCAGCTCCTGCTGAAAATACTAACCTCTACCTTTTGTCCACACCTTCTGTTGTTCAGAAGGCACCTAGACTCATCCCACATGCAAAAACATTTAGTCCTGGTGATGGTTTTCCCTTGCTTCAATTTAAGCCTAAGCAAGAATTCAAACCCCTTTTCTTACATACAGGGAGCCTTCCACAAGTTCCCTTCAAGCCTCTGCCACAACAAAGAGAGGCTTGGGGATTATCTGATTCCTTCCAGCCTGATCCGCCAGAAAGAGTGGCACAAACTATACCAGCACCCCATTTGAATGTAAGCCAGTATAATACTGAAGCCAAAAAAAAAGAAGCTGAGCGCAAGACATGGGCAGGAACTGTAATTACAGAAATTCCTAAGCATGTGAACTTGGATCAGTATGTTGGACAAGAAAACTTGAGACCTCAACAGGACTCTTCAGCGTTTATAAAACCAGAAAAACTATTTGATGTTAAACCAGGGCCCCTTGAGATACCTCCTCACCATTCCTTTGGACTTCCGTTACTATACCTGCCACTTAAACCTCCTGATAGGTTTTCATCAACCTCAAGAGCCTCAGTTACTGTTCCCTCAACACTCATCCAACCTGTAGCAGAAGAAAGAAAATACCCAAGCCTGTTATTACTTCATTCACATTTGTCCCCAGAAAATATGGTAATCAATTTTTGCATCATAATGGAAAAACAGTGTCCTGCATTTTTTAAAATACCATAAGTACTATATGATCAAAGAAAAGCTCTTCCACATAAAAAAATGCTTGTTATAGAAAATAACATATACAAATTGGGCTGAAAATAATGATTGAAGCTGGGCATGGTGGCTCATGCCTGTAATCCAAATATTTTGGGAGGCCAAAGTGGGAGGATCCCTTGATCCCAAGAGTTTGAGATCAGCCTTGGTAACAGGGAGAACCTGTCTCTATTTATTAAAAAATTATGTATTTTAAAGGTTTTAGGTCTTTCTATCAATACTGCAATTTACTGGACTCTTTCATAGATATTTGCTACTCCAGGAAGAAATTCGAAGTAAAATTACCAGGTGCTTTTTGTAAGATTCAAACACTGAAAAAAAAAAAGCAAAAAATAATTACCAGATGCTCATGTTTATGTGTGTCTAGAGTGAGAACAAGTGAACACACATATTGTTTGAGGTTTCTAGCAATTATTATATGATCTTCAAATCTTTCACAGGTTAAATTTGTTAAATAGACTCAGATCTGTGAGTAGTAGTGCATATATTAAAATGGTAGTTTTATAAACCTACCAAGTCCTCTTTAAAGGCATAACTTTTGATTTATGAAATTCAAATGGTGTAGGCTCTAGTTTTGAGGACAGCGGTACTGTCTTTGGGAGGTAATTCAGTAATGCATTCTTTGGTGTACTTTTATGATTTGAAGATGGTACTGGGAAAATAAATGATTATTCCTTTACTTACCATACCTACTTTTCTTCTGAACATATAATGAGCAGAAGAAGAAAGACTAAAAGGAGTGGAACAGTAGATATTTTAAGAAAAATTATTCTAAAATTTTTTATCCAAATAGTATAATGAACTTTCAAGTTTTCATCACCCAAACCCCAAGGCTTCAGGGATTTTCAGCATATTGCTGGTCTTTTCCATTCGTGCTTCTGCATCTTCCCTGTTGCAAATAATTTCAAGTTAAATGCTGGACATTATATAATTTCACTTACAAGAGGAAAGTTTTTTTTTTTTTGAGACACAGTCTTTCCCTTTTGCCCAGGCTGGAAGGCTAGAATGCAATGGCGTGATCTTGGCTCACTGCAACCTCCGCCTCCCAGGTTCAAGTGATTCTCCTGCCTCTGCCTCCCAAGTAGCTGGGATTACAGGTGTGGACCACATGCCCGGTTAATTTTTTGTATCTTTAGTAGAGATGGGGTTTCACCATATTGGCCAGGCTGGTGTTGAACTTCTGACCTCAGGTGATCTACCCGCCTCTGCCTCCCAAAGTTCTGGGATTATAGGCGTGAGCCACTGCCCCTGGCCAGAGGAAGGATTTTTAATATGGGAATGAAATTAGGAAGATGAGGACTTCTAAGCTTAATTTCTGAAATAGGATGACCCATTTGAACCTTTCAGCACTTTATATCACTTTAAATTTTTCTCTAAGATAATGTATACTCATATTACCAGTTTAAGTCAATTTGTTATATTTGATTTGTTCTTTTACACAGTTTAAACAAATGTTTTTTTCTCAGTTTTTGTTAAAATATTATATAATTGAGTTTATAATTTATCATTCTTATGCTTTATTTCTTTCTTGTAGTGCAAAAACCCACAACTTATCCCACTTGAAAACCTCATTGCGTTTAAACAAAGCCAACAGAAACTAACACATAATTTATTTGAGCAAGGTGATGCTGGACACCTTCAACTTCTAAAGGCCAAAATAGAACCACCTGAAGTAAGACAAGGAAAGGACAGTAAAAAAAGGCAAGACTTAAGTGAAATTTTATTTGATAATATCATATATCAGCAAGTTCATTATTATTTATAATCACATAGTAACCTGGTTCATTGTCTTAGGCTATACACAATTGAACATTTAGTTTTCTTTTGATCTGTCATACATCTGAACACATTTTATATGAGGAAAATATCCTATTTTGTGAGACAAATACTATAATTTTTCCCCTTTTATTAAGGAATTCTTTCCTACCATTCATAGACTGTAGGATTCTTTTACAGTGTCTGTAATAGGATGAACACTCATCATTTACTGCACAAATATTTGATACAATATCCCATATGCAGCAGTCCTCCCTTATCCCCAGGGATACATGCCAGGACCTTCAATGGATACCTGAAACTGCAGATAGTACTGAACCCTATTTTATATTCTGTTTTTTTCTATATGTACATACCAATGATAAAGTTTAACTTATAGATTAGGCACAGTGAGCAATGCGTAAAAACTAGTAATAAAATATTGCAATTATAACTATTGTAGTACAAGTTACATGAATGTGATCTCTTTCTCTCTGTTCCTCAAAATATCTTGTTGCACTGAACTCATCTATTTTTGAACCATGCCTATCTTCGTGCCTCTGCATCTTCCCTGAATGCATGGTTGAACTCTGATAACTGAAACCTTGGAAAGTGAAACCACGAATAAGTGGGGACTATTGCATCATCAAATGCTTTGAACAAATTATCTTACCATATTCTTCAAACTGTTAGAGTAAGCAGGAGAGTAGGTGATAAAAATTGTTTCAGGGCACTAAGAAATGTGTATGTGAAAAGCAAAGCTGTGACTTCTAGTGAAGAGCACTTACTTTAGTGTTTTACCACATGTATCGATGGTAGATTATTACTAAGACTAGAAAATACTTTGAAAATTTTACATTTATCAGACTGTGAAAACTGTTACTAGTGCTCTCTTTCCAGAAATGTTCCTCTTTTTTCTATCTATTCCCTCTTCAAATTAAGTCTTCCCCCTTAACATTTTGAGACCTCTTTCCTCCTTGCTGTGATTTTGCTGAGGAAACTAAGTGTGCTTAATGTCTTCAAGTAGACAAATGGAGATATCTGATAGGGTTTCTGGCACCAGCTTCAAATCTACAAAAAACAGAGTTAAAAAATTACCTGCCGGGCGCGGTGGCTCACGCCTGTAATCCCAGCACTTTGGGAGACCGAGGCGGGTGGATCACGAGGTCAAGAGATCGAGACCATCCTGGTCAACACGGTGAAACCCCGTCTCTACTAAAACTACAAAAAATCAGCTGGGCATGGTGGCGCGTGCCTGTAATCCCAGCTACTCAGGAGGCTGAGGCAGGAGAATTGCCTGAACCCAGGAGGCGGAGGTTGCGGTGAGCTGAGATCGCGCCATTGCACTCCAGCCTGGGTAACAAGAGTGAAACTCTGTCTCAAAAAAAAAAAAAAAAAAAAAAAAAATTACTTAAGATATATAACCCTGTCCTTAGATTCAAGTGACTAACAGAATAATCGGTTCAGTAGTAGATGTTCTAGAAATAAATTTCACATTTGATATTTTGCTTATATTTGCTTGTATTTGCAGAATATCTTGCTAATTTAATTTCTATTGAAAATAATTTATGAACATAATTTTGTTAACTGTATCCCTATATAGGATGATAAATGAAAAGCAAATGTTGCTATAATTGTAAAAGTATGTTTTATGACTCTATGTTTAAAAGGCAAAGAAGAAGAGCTGAGAAGCAGCTGGAAGAAAAAAGATCTGAGAAACTGAGGAGAAAACCAAGTGTGACTTTTCGACCAGAGGATTCCATCATTAATAATGATGATTCAGAAATCATTAAGCAACCCAAGGTATTAAACAACTGCTATAGATTCTTCCCTGGTTTGCATGTATACTGAGTAGTTTGGTATGTCTTTGTGGTTTGTTGAGTCCAGTTGCTGGGAGCTTCTGATTGTGATTAGGAGGATCTTTATATCATTCAGTATATCAGTCCCTGCTGCCTCCCTCAGCAGAGAAGTAGACATACAATTCTGAATGTGAAAAGCAACTTGAGGCACATCAAAAACTGCAGTTTAGAGCATCTGCCTCTGTGGCTTTTATATATTTGAAATCATCCTTTGCTTATTTCTATGACATCTTAATGTATACGTTATGTTATTTGGGCTTCTCCTAATACAATTTCACCCTTCTCTGAGATTCTGCTAGGATTTACCAAACAGGTTTGTTGTGTAACCTCTATTTTAAGTCAGATCTTTTTAAAAAATTTATTATTATTTTTTTAAAGATAGGGTCTTGTTCTGTTGCCCAGGCTGTAGTGCAGTGGCACAAATATGGCTCACTGCAGCCTCCACCTCCTGGGCTCGGGCTATCCTGCTGCTTCAGCCTTCCAAATAGCTTGAACTACAGGTGTGTGCCACCATGCCCAGCTAATTAAAAAATGTTTTTTGAGAGACGGGACCTTGCTATGCTGCCCATACTGGTCTCCAACTCCTTACCTCAAGTGATCCTTCCGCCCCAGCCTCCTAAAACACTTGGATTACAGGTGTGAGCCATCATGCTCAGCTTTAAGTCAGTCTTTTTAAACATACCTTCTACATTTGGTGACTTGTCTGTTTTTGCAACAACAGATTAAATAAACAGAAACATATTAATAGTTCTGTTTACTTTTTTCTTTTTTGAGACAGATTTTCACTCTGTCGCCCAGGCTGGAGTGCAGTGGTGTGATCACAGCTCATTGCAACTTCGCCTCCCTGGTTCAAGCAGTTCCCTGCCTCAGCCCTCTGAGTAGCTGGGATTACAGGTGCCCGCCACCACGCCTGATTAATTTTTATGTATTTAGTAGAGATGGGGTTTCAGCATCTTGGCCAGGCTGGTCGTGAACTCCTGACCTTGTGATCCACCTGCCTCGGCCTCCCAAAAAGTGCTGGGATTACAGGTGTGAGCCACCACTCCCAGCCTACATTGGTTTTTAAAGGGCATGCTTTTTCAGTCAGTCCTTAAGAACATGTCTAGAGGCACTTAGTACAAATGTTTGTTGAGTCCATGAAAGATTTTGACAGGATGGTGGTACTATGTGAGTATCATCCCTGTAGGAGAGAGTTGCACATTGTAACCTAGGAACTTTACATTAATTTGATAATGTTCTTTTTTATTGTTTGGCTTATGACTTTTCTGAACTCATTTGTGGAGTTACTGCAATAGAGTAAATAATTTGATAGAATAATTATGACTAAAATTATGGAAATTGAACCTATACTTTAGAATTCAATCTTTGTTGCTATTGAGGATTTTTTCCAAAATGATACACATCTTTGAGTTAATTATAAATTAATCATGTGGGAATTCATTTAGGAACAACAAGAACATTGTGATTCCCATCCTTTGGATGACTTCGACATTCCTTTTGGTACGTATGTGTATGATTAATGTCTAAGTTTAGAGTTAAAATTAGTTTTCTAGAAGTATGTGCAATATAAAAATGAGGCTACCTAATTTCTGCCCAGCTGACTACAAATTCAAGGGTTCCTATACTCCACCCCCCCTCAACTCAGGTTTGATAATTGACTAGAAAACCCACAGAGCTTGGGAAAGCATTTTACTTTTGATTACAATTTTATTGTAAAGGATACAACTCGGGAAAAGCCCCCTTAACTCAGGTTTAATAATTGACTAGAAAACTCACAGAACTTGGGAAAGCACTTTACTTATGATTACAATTTTATTATAAAGGATACAACTTGGGAACAGCCAAATGGAAGAGATACACAGGGCAAGGCAGTGGTGGGGGTGGGCAGCATGCTTCCATGCCCTCTCTGGGATGGCCACTCTCCTAGCACATCCATGTATTCACCAACCTGGAATCTCCCTTAACCTGTTTGCTTCAGAATTTTTATTGACTTTTCAGTACATAGGTATAATTGATTAAATCACTGGCCGTTGTGATTGAGCTCAATCTCCAGCTCCTTCTCTTCCCCAGAAATGGCAGTAGGATGGGTGAATTGGGGGGTGATAGTTCTATCCCTTTAATCATGTGGTTGGTTCTTCTGGTGACAAGGCCCTATGCTGAAGCTATCTAGGGGCGTGCCAAGATGTACAAGAAACTGGGTCTTTGTAGACCAAATATATATTTTTCTTTATGCCGCAGTGTGCCATAATTGATATTCTCTGATTCTATGTAGTCTTCCTGAGTGATCTCCCAGAGAAATCTGCATGTAAACCCAAACTCTCATAGTAGACTTTGAACTTTGATTCTCTGTCCTCTTGAGCTTTTCTACTTGCGTAGAAATTATCTCAGGTACGGCATGTGAATTCTGAATTCATTATTTCTACTCTGCCCCAACTGTTTTATCCTCCTATATCCTCTTTCTCCATTTGTGTTAATACCAGCCTAAGCCAGAAACACATGATTTTGAATTCTGCCTTCCCTCTTATGCAGTCAGTAAGCAATTATTACTTTTGCTTCCTTTGTAATTCTTAAATTTATCCTGTTTCCCATCCCTCACCATTACTAGGTGTATCCACTCAAACCTATCTTCCACACACTGCCTAGGTTGTTTTCCTAGAATATGAATCTGACTGTATCATTTCTCTGCTTAACAGCTTCTGCTAGATCTTCATTAGCCACAAGAATATCTAGGTTTCTAAGGTGGGAGTGCAGAGTCCCCTACAGTTTTGGTTTTGATTCTACCATGTCTTTGAGATTCAACTTACGTAACACTTCATTCAGAAAGCCCATTTTAGGCTGGGTGCAGTGGCTCACACCTGTAATCAGCACTTTGGGAGGCCGAGGTGGGCAGATCACTTGAGGTCAGGAGTTCCAGACTAGCCTGGCCAACATGGCGAAACCCTGTCTCTACTAAAAATACAAAAATAAGTTGGGCGTGGTGGCAGGTGCCTGTAATCCCAGCTATTTGGGAGGCTGAGGCAGGAGAATCACTTGAACTTGGGAGGCAGAGGTTGCAGTGTGCCAAGATAGCACCACTGCACTCTAGCCTGGGTGACAGAGCCAGACTCCATCTCAAAAAAAAAAAGAAAGCCCATTTAAATAACTTACTGACCCCTCATATTTTACTCCTGCTGAGTTAGGTACTGTGCTGCTGGGCTCCTGGTAATACGTTAGCTTCTTAATAATTACTTCGAATGTTTTGTGATATTTAAGAAATGCTACAAGATGATAATACTTCAGCTGGATTACATTTCATGGCCTCTGTGAAAAAGAAAGCTATAGGAAGTCAAGATGCAAGTACAAATACAGACCCAGGTAAATGCTGTTTTTCTTTTTAAATAATTCATATATTTTGACACAATTGAGTTATCTAGACTTCCTTTAAGGCAGTGATTTAAAGGGAATTTTAAATTATGTGATATTATTTACTACCCTTAGATTTTTCTCTCCAGTCGTGGTGTAACCTTTAGAAATCAAGTTTATAACTTAAGTAAAACATAATAGAGACTTTTCTTCAAAACTGCCATAGCCTACATTCTAAGTCAGTAAAAATAATGCTTTGAATCTGAATTCTCTATCTCATTAAGTATCTTCACTGGAATTGCATACCTAAGTTTGGGATGCATGGGACTGTGGCTAGTGAATGTGAGCTAGAAAGAGGATTGGGTTTGGCTCAGTGAGGGAGGGGTATATAACTGTGTTCAGGAGTAGAAGAAATAAGTGTTAGAGGACCTATTATTTGGGATGTTTCCTGACAAATTTCTTCTTTAATATTACTTATCATTATGAATAGCATCTTAAATAGTGCTCTACCCATTATATCATAGTAATTCTTTTTTATGACTTTTAGTAAACAGTTTAACTGTGTACAGAACCTTGTAAGTGCTTTTTAGCCTTTCTAACTTTATCTTATGTTTTAAAAATGTAATCATTGTAGAATATTTGGGTAATTTAGCAATCTCTGAAGATGATGAAAATTAACCATAATCACACCACTTAGCAATAACAGTTCGATACTGTTTTTTCTTTTAGTCTTTTGTGCATTTTACATAGTTAGATACAGCATATAGCACAGGTGTCATCACTTACTATCTAAACTCTCACTCTCCAGATATTATTGCCATCTTCTCTAGCTTTTTCATGAGAGTTTCGTTTAATCCTCCTGGGTCCCAATGTTGTTTTTTTCCAAGTACCATGGGATGCTCTTAAACTAGAGTGTATCTTTAACATATTATTTCTTTGGTTATTTGTATCATAGTATGTTTGCTGTAGTGTTGAAGGCAATTCATCTCTAATGCATTCAGTATTATTGCATATTGCATGCTAACTAATGAATTAAATGAATATTAATCAAATAGTGATATTTAAAATGCTTTATAAGTAGTAATACTTGATGGGTTGTTATTTAAGTATTTAAGTGTTGCTTAATGATGTTTGGGAAAATTAGATGGGCTGGGACACCTTTTTTTTCTTCTATTTGAATTACTGTCATAAAGCCTCCTGGAATCAGAAATTTCACTATCTAGCTCATTTGCAGGAGTGGATTAGATTTGGATAACAAGGGATACCTGTATTTTGTATTCTGTTCATTTCACTTTGATTTATACATATGGCAAACATGTCCCTGTGAATTCAAAAAAGTACTTTGTAATCATAGTCCTTCTTGCAGCTTTGCCATAAAATATTTTACCAGTTCCTTATTGTTAAATACTTAGGCAGTTTCCAGTTTTTCCTCCTATAAATTGTGCTTCAGTGAGTACCTTCTTGCGTAATAAGACTTTTTGGGGGCCGGGCGCGGTGGCTCAAGCCTGTAATCCCAGCACTTTGGGAGGCCGAGGCGGGTGGATCACGAGGTCAAGAGATCGAGACCATCCTGGTCAACATGGTGAAACCCCGTCTCTACTAAAAACTACAAAAAATTAGCTGGGCATGGTGGCGCGTGCCTGTAGTCCCAGCTACTCAGGAGGCTGAGGCAGGAGAATTGCCTGAACCCAGGAGGCGGAGGTTGTGGTGAGCCGAGATCGTGCCATTGCACTCCAGCCTGGGTAACAAGAGCGAAACTCCGTCTCAAAAAAAAAAAAAAAAAAGACTTTTTGGTTATTACTGTGATTTAGCTAACCTTTTTCACTTTGCCAATCTGATAGGTCAAAAAAGTCATTATTTTAATTTGTATTTCTTTCTGAATAAAGTTGAGCACGTGTAAAATGTTTTTGATATAAATGATGACTCTGCATTTGAGAAAATTTTTTTTTTATGAGACGGAGTCTTGCTGTGTTTCCCAGGCTGGAGTGCAGTGGTACAATCTTGGCTCACTACAACCTCCACCTCCCAGGTTCAAGTGATTCTCCTGCCTCAGCCTCCTGGGTAGCTAAGGTCTCCTTAGAGGTGACCTCCGCCATGCCTCGCTAATTTTTGTATTTTTAGTACAGACAGGATTTCACCATGTTGGCCAGGCTGGTCTTGAACTCCTGACCTCAAGTGATTTGCTGTCCTCGGCCTCCCAAAGTGCTGGGATTACAGGCTTGAGCCACCATATTGGAACTGAGAAACATTCTTAAATGTTCATTATCTAAGCATGTCTTTGAGAAAGCCTTGGAGGTACACTGCTTTTGTTGCAAAGTAGTTTATCAAAGTTGGCAGCTATTTGCTGAGTCTGCCATTCATCTAGGTGAAGGGCCAAGATAAGAATAATAATAAAACCTGAAATTACATTAATTATTTAAAATTACATTGTTAAGCTGTCATTCTACTTTTCTACCTATCACCTTTTATACATAATATCTAATTATATTAATGTATTTTAATTTTTTCTTGTGTTTGTGAAATTCTTTTTTGTTTTCTCTTTTTGTCTTGTTTTTAAATATATTATAGTACAAGATAAGGAAGCTACTTCTCAGGAAATTGTTTCTGAATGTGGTACCAGGCACCAAATTATTTCTTGCACACCAGGTGGGATTTCTTTTTTTTTTCTAAGAATGGTTTGACTTATTAAAGATTATATCTGCATGCCAAAGCTAATCACCACCCCCCATAAAAAAAGCAGTTAAGCCAATCAAGAGAGAGAGAATGATTTAAATATTTTTCTTTTTGTTTTTTAACATCTATTTGTTAGTAAGATTTAAGTATTTTTCTTTTCCTTTTTTTTCTAGTTTTAAGTGGTTTATATTCAAGCTTTGGTAACAAGTACTCAATATGAGTTACATATGAAAATAGTGCTTTATTGAAAATACAATGCTAGAAAATAAGGTTAGAGACCCAGAATAAAAGGCACAGAGTTAAACTATCTGCTAATCTGCTGTGACAGGCCTATTTATTTTACTGTTCCATAAGAAGCAAATAACTTTTGTGAAATTTAGATGTTAAAACACTTTAAGTGGTAAAATTTATTTATGGCCTCTGTGAATATACTACACACCACTGAATGATACCCTTTTAAAGAATGTGAGTTATATGTCAGTAAAGCTGTCAATAAAAATAAGTAAATAAGAAACTGTTCAAAGTAAAAAAAAAAAAAAATTATAGGTTAATCTCCTAAAATCTGGTTTTATTGAAATTTTCCTAAATGAAGTAGACAAACATGACTGAATATATCTGATATGGAAATAGATTTTAGCATTTTCTTGATGTAAGTTATAGTACTCTATTGTTCTTGTAAATGATTCATATGAGAAAAACAATAGTCAACCTACATTCAATTATGAATTACTCTAAATTGTCCTTAGAATAGAATAGAATTTGCTTTAATTATTTATACCAAGTCACTTCTACTTAGATTTCAAGAAACAATTTATGTTGTTTGTTGCTAACTTGTTCATACAAAGTTGGTGATTTGGAGCTGTTTACAGCCTTTTTTAATGTTCCTGATTATTCCTTTTTTAATTTTCAGGACATGAGCCTTCGAATGCTCCTCAGCTCTTGGTCCCAGATGTATATCTAAATCTGAAGCTTTCCACTGAAATATCAGAGAAACCTTTGTCACCCTCAATACCTCATACAGTAGCAAACTCGGTTTGTGTTTTATTCAGAAGTTTTAATAATACCTTTGCGCTAAAATATATTATGGTTATCTAGACATTATTCAATTGTGTAGGTGAAATGAGGCTAAAAATCTCATTTATGTAGCTTTGTAGTAAAGGTTAAAAAATTAATTTAAGCATTATGCCAAAAATATTGTAAATTACGACCAATAGTACTTCTGCTCTTTTTCTTAAGTTAGGCATATACAGGCTCTTCTTGCCTTGTTATTAATAAGAATGAAGCATTAAGCTTTTTTTTTTTGGGCAGAGTGACCATATAGAGTAAAAAGAATGTAACCCTCTTTGATTTTGTGTGTTTTGGCTCAGACTGGACATACTTATATAAATGTGATTGACATTGAAGCTGATGATCTTCTACAGGAATTACCTGTGAGAGAAGAGCCTTCAAATGGTAATGTTATCAAACAGCAAAGTGATCATCTAGAAGCTCCATCATCTGCAGAGTTACATTATATAGCAGCTTCAGTTACTAATGCTGTTCCTCCACATAATTTTAAGAGTCAAGGTAATTTTTTCCTACAGGTATTGACCGACTTACGACCTATGCAACTTATGACCATTCGACTTTATGACCACAATGTTTTGCAAATATTAAACCAGTTGTACTGGTAATGAAGTGTTTTACTTAAACCTGACGAATGTAGAAATAAGAAACAAAATGGTGTAGAGATGATACAAATGGCATAAAATGAACAAAGAAAATTATGATATATAACAATAATGAAAGAAAATTATGATAAAATATGACTTAAAGATTTTGTAACATTTCACAGTACTTTACGTATAGCCTACTCAACTTAACGACCAAATCGTGTTACGACCGGTCTGTGGGAACCAATTGTGGTTGTAAGTTGAGCACTAGCTGTACTTTTAAAACAAATATGATTTGAAAATTCTTTAATATAGCATTGTTATCCCTACTCATATCTCTTAACTCTCCTCCTACAAAACCACTGAATCTTTGGATGTTTATATTCACAGAAATGTTCTGTTAATCTTCTAATTACCTTATTTAGAAGTTTATAATCAGCCTTTGAGTGCTTTTCATATTCTTGATAGAATCAGCCAGTTCCACTATGGATTTATTTTCTAAACCTGCAGAGGTGACTCCCGCTTGTCTAGATGGAAAAAGCTTGAGAGCAGGCATTACTGAAGTGAAGGAGCCTAGTGTCACCTCAACTGCACCATCAGACATACAGCAGAACAAAGGTAAACAGCCAAGACGTATAGCATGACCCTCTCCTGAATTACTGTTATATTAGAAAAAAGTACCAAAACTTGATAATTGCAAAAGAAACCAGAAAAAGGCTTGTCCCTTGCTAAGGAGCATGGAGGCAAGTAGGTAAATGAAATAGAGACATGATTCCAAAGCTCGGCCCCATGGATATTTTGCAAGAAGTGACAGATCTGTTTATGGATGTATATTTTCTCAGTAAGGTTAAAAATAAATATTTTGTGTGAGTTCATGAGTGTTTTGATGTTAAAAAACAATTCTCATATTTTATTTTTTTCTCTAAAAAAAAATGGAAAGAAAGAAAAAAATAATTAAATAAATAAAAAAGAATGAAGGAGAGGAAGAAAGAGAAAGAGGAAGAGGGAGAGAGAACGGGGGTGTTGCTTTATTGCCCAGGCTAGAATGCAGTCTAAAAATGGGTATGCCTATAATTGTGCTTAATAATAGAGACATGAAAAAAAAATGAGGGAAGAAAATAACAAACAAGCAGCCAACCAATATTTCATTTAAACCTGTAAATAGATGTGATGTGGTACTGATAAGAGTGTATATTTTGTGTATTTAAAGTAGAGAGTTCTATAAATGTTAATTAAGTTTACTTCTTCCGGATCTGAGTTCAAATCCTGGATATCGTTGTTAATTTTCTGTCTCATTGTTCTGTGTAATATTGATGTTGAAGTCTCCCACTATTATTGTGTGGGAGTCTAAGTCTCTTTCTGGGTATTCCTGTTTTGGGTGCATATATATTTAGGATCTTTAGCTCTTCTTGTTGCATTGATCCTTTTATCATTATGTAATATCCTTCTTTGCTTCTTTTTATCTTTGTTGCTTTAAAGCAACTCCTGCTTTTTATTTATTTATTTATTTTTGCTCTCCATTTGGTTGGTAAATCTTTCTCCATCCCTTTGTTTTGAGTCTTTGTGTATCCTTGCATGTGAGATGGGTCTGGATGCAGCATACCGATGGGTTTTGGCTTTTTTTGTCTGTCTGTGTCTTTGGATTGGGGGATTTAGTAGATTTAAATTTAGAATTAATAATAATATATCTGAGCTTAATACTGCCATTTAATGTTAGCTGGCTGTTTTGCCTATTAGTTGATGTAAATTCTTGATTATGTTGATGCTCTTTACTTGTTGGTATTTTTTAGAAGGGCTGATACTGGTTATTCCTTTCTATGTGTAGTCGTTCTTTCAGAAGCTCTTGTAAAGCAGGCCTGGTGGTGATGAAATCTCTGAGTGCTTGCTTGTTCACAAAAGATTTCATTTTTCCTTCGCTTATGAAGCTTAGTTTGGCTGGATGTAAAATTCTGGGTTGAAAGTTCTTTTCTTTAAGGATGTTGAATATTGGCCCCCACTGTCTTCTAGCGTGTAGGGTTTCTGCTGAGAGATCTGCTGTGAGTCTGATAGGCTTCCCTTTATGGGTAACCTGACCTTTCTCTCTGGCTACCCTCAGAATTTTCTCCTTCATTTCAACCCTGGTGAATCTGGTGATTATGTGCCTTGAGGTTGGTCTTCTTGAGGAATATCTTTGTAGTGTCCTCTGTATTTCCTGGATGTGAATATTGGCCTGCCTTGCTAGGTTTGGGAAGTTTTCCTGGATAATATCCTGAAGCGTATTTTCCAGCTTGGATTGATTCTCTTCATCACCTTCAGGTACACCTATCAAGCATAGATTAGGTCTTTTCACATAGTCCCATATTTCTTGGAGACTTTGCTCGTTCCTTTTTATCCTTTTTTCTCTAATCTTGTCATCTTGTTTTATTTCATTAAGTTGGTCTTCAACTTCTGATATCTTTTCTTCTGCTTGATCGATTCGGCCGTTAAAACTTGTGCATAGTTCGCGAAGTCCTCATGTTGTGTTTTTCAGCTCCATTAATTCACTTATATTCCTCTCTAAATTGTGTATTTTTGTTAACATTTCATCAAACCTTAGTTCTTGGTTTCTTTGCATTGGGTTAGAACAAGTTCTTTTAATTCACAGAAATTTCTTTTTCTTTTTTTTTTTTTTTTTTTTGAGACAGAGTTTCGCTCTTGTCACCCAGGCTGGAGTGCAATGGCGCGATCTCGGCTCACCGCAACCTCCGCCTCCTGGGTTCAGGCAATTCTCCTGCCTCAGCCTCCCGAGTAGCTGGGATTACAGGCACGCACCACCATGCCCAGCTAATTCACAGAAATTTCTTATCATCCACCTTTTGAAGCCTGCTTCTGTTAATGGAACACACCCGTTCTCCATCAGGCCTTGTTCCATTGCTGATGAGGAGCTGTGATACCCTGTAGAGGGAGAGGCGTTCTGATTTTGGGTATTCTCAGCCTTTTTAGGCTGTTTTCTTCCCTTCATTATAAATTTATCCATCTGTGGTCTTTATAATTACCGCCTTTATAATTGGGTTTCTGAGTGGACATCCAACTTGTTGATTCCCAGCGCTAAAATCTGAGCAACCCATTGCACCGGCCAAAACAGCGGCGTTATGATTGATGGTGCTTTTCTGACTCTGCACCAAGAACCACCGCACCAAGGCAGCGGCCAAACCGCCTCGCTGGCCACAAGAGTCGCGCTGGCGACCCGTGGGGCTCCTCCGCTGGGAATCTCCTGGTGTGTGAGCAACAAAAATTCGTCTGAAAGTGTGGCATCCTCTTGTTCTCTGCACTTTCACTGGGAGCTACGATCCCGAGCTGCTAGTGATCAGCCATCTTGGATCTCTCTCAATTCTCATATTTTAAAAGGTGAGAAATTCTCAAATAGCACACAGAAAATATACAGGCGTGGTAGCCAACAGTACTTTTTTTTCCAACTTTTATTTCAAATTTAGGATACATGTATAGGTTTGTTACATAGGCATATTGCATGATGCTAAGATTTAGGGTATGATTGAACCCATCGCCCAGGTAGTGAGCATAGTACCCCATAGGTAGTTTTTCATCCCTTCCCTTCCTCCCTCCCTCCCTGTCTTGTAGTCCCCAGTGTATGTTTTTTCCATCTTTGTGTGCAGGTATATGCAATTCAGTAGTACTTATATCAGTTTTATAGTCAGGTTGCATTATGGTAACTTTTTGCAAGATTTAGAAGACTATATATATATATATATATATATTTGAAATTTTTAATAAACTACATATATATATAAACTACGTATATGTAATATATAATACATGTATATGTAACTACATTTATAATAAATGTATATATAACTACATTTATATAATAAACTACATTTCTATAGATCTATATCTATATCTCTCTCTATATATAGATATATATTTGTTGTTGTTGTTTTTTAGAGACAGAGTCTTGCTGTGCCGTCCAGGCTGGGGTACAGTGGTGTTATCATAGTTCACTGTGACCTTGAACTCTTTGGCTCAGGAGATCCTCCTGCTTCAGCCTCCCAAGTAGCTAGGAGGATTACAGGCACACACCACCATGCCTAGCTAATTTTTAAATTTTTTTATAGAGACAGAGTCTCACTATGTTGCCCAGGCTGGTCGTAACTCCTGGTCTCAAGTGATCCTCCTACCTCAGCCTCCCAAAGTACTAGGATTATAGGCATGAGCCACCACACCCAGCCTAGGAGAATATCCCTCCACAACCTGAAGCTACTACATCGTGTGACTGGTTAGATTAATCCAATATGCAATCAGACTCTGTGCAACAGAGACCTAAGTCTCCCCTAGGTTCCACAGAGGTTGTGAGGCATGGACCTAGCCAGCCCTGCAGTTGAAAGATGCGTGGGTGCAGAGTCTAGCTCTGTCTGATTATTGTGTAATGACAGTGGTCACTTAGGAGACATGAGAAGCAAGGAAGGGATGGGTGGCAGGGAAACTTCACCTCAGGACGTGTTAGGGCATGTGTATTACAGCTGCATATACAAACAGGTGCCAGTATTTCAGATTTTGAAGGCTTTGTCTTCTCTCTCCTGTCATGGGGCTGCTAAGGTGCATGGGTAGTGGATGGAGGATGTATGAAGCTAGCAATCTTTCAGACAAGGGAAGTATGTGGGAAAGTGAACAGAACCTGGCTTTTAGATTCAAATAGAACAGACCTGGATTTGAATCCCAGCTCTGTCACTTAATATTTTAGATACTTTTTACAAATCAATTAACCTTCTTTGGGATCCTCACTTGTATGTCTGTGGGACACACCTTAGAGGGTTGTCATGAAGTACATCAAGCCAAGTGTCTGTGGCTGCTTAGGTACCCTGTTAGTTTCCCTTCATTTTCCTACCAATCAACTTTTGAAGTTCTGGCAGACTGGAAGTAGACTTATCTCTCTGTGATCCCTGAGTATCTCAGGCCGGCATTTCAAATGACCATAATCTACAGGTTAATTTCCTTTATCAATGAGACCAGGTTTATAATCAACCTTTTGGGAGGCTCCTTACATGGGGAGAATGCCTGGTCAAAAGGATTTGTTAGTGGACCCTTCTACTCTAATTACAGAGAAGAACTTTAAAAAATAAAGTTTTGGCCAGGAGCGGTGGCTCATGCCTGTAATACCAGCACTTTGGGAGGCCGAGGCAGGTGGATCACGAGGTTAAGAGATGGAGACCACCCTGGCCAACATGGTGAAACCTTGTCTCTACTAAAAATACAAAAATCAGCTGGGTGTAGTGGTGGGCACTTGTAATCCCAGCTGCTCAGGAGGCTGAGGCAGGAGAATTGCTTGAACCCGGGAGGTAGATGTTGCAGTGAGCTGAGATTGTGCCACTGCAATCCAGCCTGACGACAGAGTGAGACTTAGTCTCAAAAAGAAAAAAAAAGTGAAGTTTTATATTTTGAAATTAAATTCTGTCATTTTACATAACATACTTTATTATTTATTTTTTTTGAGACAGTGTCTCACTCTGTCACCCAAGTTGGAGTGCAGTGGTGCAGTCTCGGCTCACTGCTACCTCTGCCTCCCAGGTTCAAGTGACTCTAATGCCTCAGCTTCCCGAGTAGCTGGGACTATAGGGATGTGCCACCACACCTGACTAGTTTTT